ATAATTTTAAATCCTTTTCAAGCAAAACGGGTCTTTATTTACATATTATACCCTTGCAGAGGGTATTATAATTTTGGTCAAAAGTGTGCAACGCAGTGAAGGAGACATCTCCGACCCTATAAAGTATATATATTCTTGATCAGGATCACCTCCTGAGTTGATATAGCCATGTCCGTCTGTCCGTCTGTCCGTCTGTCCGTCTGTCCGTCTGTCCGTCTGTCTGTTTCTACGCAAACTAGTCTCTCAGTTTTAAAGCTATCGGATTGAAACTTTGCACACACCCTTCTTTCCTTTGCACGCAGTATATAAGTCGGAACGGCCGGGATCGGCCGACTATATCCTATAGCTGCCATATAACTGATTGATCGGAAATGCCATAACTTTCGTGTTTGTAAAGTTAGGAAGTTGGGATTTTCTATGGGATTTATATTTGGCCAATCAATCCGACCTACCAAATTTCATAAGGATCGGCCGACTATATCCTATAGCTGCCATATAACTGATTGATCGGAAATGCCATAACTTTGGTGTTTGTAAAGTTAGAAAGTTGGGATTTTCTATGGGTTTTATATTTGGCCAATCAATCCGACCTACCAAATTTCATAAGGATCGGCCGACTATATCCTATAGCTGCCATATAACTGATTGATCGGAAATGCCATAACTTTGGTGTTTGTAAAGTTAGGAAGTTGGGATTTTCTATGGATTTTATTTTTGGCCAATCAATCCGACCTATCAAATTTCATAAGGATCGGCCGACTATATCCTATAGCTGCCATATAACTGAACGATTGGAAATGCCATAACTTTGTTGTTGTTAAAGTTAGGAAGTTCGGATTTTTTATGAGTATTAAGAATGCATCATATGAATAATTTTGGAGAATATAATTTACAGAGTATTCTGCAAGGGTATATCAACTTCGGCTCCGCCCGAAGTTAGCTTTCCTTTCTTGTTTTTAATTAAAATAGATTTTCTGATTGCGATTAGTTTAATAGGAAGGTCAGAATATAACAGAAATAAGTATAAACCTAACAGTAATACAGTATTCAAAGTTAAAAAAGTTTCTACTAGGAATATATTTTATAATAATCGAATGATCTTAAATTATATTCAGTTCAAACAAAAGAATATTTCTCTGATTTAAACATTGCGATTTTGCAATGCTATTATAAGGAAAATTGTATCTAGGCCTTAAAGTATTACCAATAATTGAAATGTTGCAAAGTCAATTCGTAATATACTTAATATAATTATAAAATGAATTTCACTTATGTAGTAGTGCCAAAACTTAATGAGAAAGAAATTAGGATAATTTTATTTTGGCACATATATTTTTTTCTCTGTGCGATAGCGGTATTGGTATTGGAATGGATGCCAACTAGCACGCGAGATATTGATGTGCACAAAATATGCCAAATATCAGCGAGGAGGAAGGCCCATACATTATACAATGCTCGACGTACACACACACACACACACACGTGTGCACGAGTGTGAGCTGCCAAATCAAGCGCAAGCCCAAAAGTAGCAACAAATAAAATTTTATGCGCTGTGCGAAAAGTTTTCTTTTTGCATAACGCCCAGCAAATACAACAGCCACAACAGGAGCATCATTGGGGAAGGCAATGGCAATTTACATGTACAATGCAAAAGTTTCGATTTTATTGTGTGGGTGGGAGTGAGGAGTTGGGTTTTGGGGCGGTATCTTTTTGGTTGAGATGCCTGATTCGGTTTGTTTTCACTCTGACAGCCATAGGAGATCGAAGCGTTCCCCGCTCCACAATCCACGTTCCACGATAAACACAAAGGGCAGCAACATCGAACATCGAACGATTGCCGCCGGCGGCGATGGCCAAAAAGTCAAAAATAGTTTCGAAACGCCATTTGTTGTTGTACTTATTTTCGGGAATGCCAGTTAAGTGGAGGGACTTCATTTGCCATTACATACTCGAACAGGAGCCGAACGAACTTTTCGGCTACAATTTTAAATGGTTAGCCAACTTAAAGTGGAAGAATTCTGTGAAATGGCTGCTTTTTAGTCATTTTATGCCGATGCGGATAAAAGTGGAAGTTCTAAAATACTGGAACTTTGAGGATAACAAATATATTAGATAACACTTTTAGATTGATCTTGTTTTTGCAATCTGCTTTTAATAAAACCAGTTTTTGCCGTCCCAAGGTTGGATAATAATCATTTCTTATAACACATTTTAAACTGCTTCTGAAAAACCAGATCTTTTTTATTTTTAACCGAATTTCGTATAGGTTAGTAGCCACTGCAATGCACATTGAAAATACATAGCTTTGATAAATTGTTGGCATTTTCAAGTATGCAAGGCATTGCTTTCTACTTATGCACATCTACTCAAGCCGAACAACGAATAAGATGGATGTATATATATGCACTCCAATGTAGTTTATACCCACAATTTAACATGGTCGGCTACCGCAGATGCAGTGCAGTGCCTGGCTATGGCTAATTTGCATATTGTGTGGGTCAATTACATTACGGACGCAGGATTCCGGGCTAGTCCTAATCAATTGGATTGTTGTGTGCTCATAAACCGAAGGCTAATCAGTCGAACATTAGGACAAGCCCTAGGATATCTCAACTTTAAGGCACTAGTTTCGAAGGGAAAACCAAATATTTGTGTAAGGTTATTTTTGCTAACTGAATTTAAAGTCGACTTCTACATAAATCCTTGCAATCCTTATGGAATCTGATTAGTTGAAGCTGTGCAACGCAGTAAAATCCGGATGAAGGGGCGTGTCAAGGCCTCTAACGTATTAGCGCTCCCATGACAGTTTAAATTTCCACAGAGCCATTTTTTGTGCGCCGTTTTTGTTGCATATTTCAGGGCGCCGCTGCCCATTGCTCTTGTTGGCCAGGAAACACAACGAACTGCCAAATGGCTTGCGCAAAGCGGAAGAAAAACTAAAACAAATGTCAGTCGTAGTTGACGCGTTGCCACCGACCACCATGCACCATCCACCAGAGCGGTCCCACAGCTCGCCCCCCTCCCCCTTCCCATCCCCGTTTGGCTGCCAGGGAAATGCAAATGTCATTTGCAGTTGACACTTGACTCAGCACTTCGCACTGTCCTAGGGCACTTTGGGGTTTTCACCTGCGTCTTCGCGCCCGCTTTCCCGCCATTCCCCTTTTAACACCCCTTCCCTCCACCCATTTACTGCATTTGGTGGCACAATGGCTGCATTCCTCACACTCCCGCAGACAGCGGCAAATAAAAGAAAGTGGAATAAAACAAAAGTTGTGGGCCAGCTAAAAAAAAAAAGAGAGGTAAGAGCAGGGGGTTAGGGGGAATTGGGGGACGGGGGCAGGGCGACTAATGCCAACTGAACATGAATAAAGTCGTGGCCCCTTGGGAAGCTGCTACCGCTGCCATGTCGTCGTTATTCTCGTGGTCGTCATTAGGAGGGCAGACGTCAAAGTATGCGCTTTGTTTTTGCTGCGTACCATGCAGCGTGTTAATAGCCAGGCACCGGGCTTCAATCCACCAGGCACTACACAGAGAGAATTATCTCTAAGACTACCCAGCAATTGTACAACATTTTGCATATCTAACGAGGAGGGTAGAAATAAATTAGGAAGCCTGAATCATTTTGAATCTATATCAAATCTACAGTTTTCTTAAATTCAGATTAAGCTACTATTTTTGGTGACCTTATTTCCCTAATAAGCTTTTTTCATTAATGACAAAGACCTTCTTTCCAAACACTTATTTTATATTTGTAAGCCCAATTTTAGAGTGGATTTCGTTTCAATGATTTTAACTTTCAATTTTTTATCTATTTACCAATCTATTTTAAAAAAGTATGTCGAATTAATGTAAAGTTTTAATTATGATAAATACTCACATGTTAAAATGTGAATTGAAAAAAAATGCAAAATCTTACATTATTTAACCAAGTATCTTTACTTGAAAATACTGAAAATCATATTTATTGAATCACTTTGCTAACAAATTCGTGAATTTTTTATATAAACCTTGGTCTGTTTTCATTTAAAAACATTTTTATCTCGAAAAGTAAAAAAACAGAATATATAATTAAAAAAACTTTTTATAAACAATATTCTTTCGGTGCAGCACCGTGAGGCATGAAACCGCTTTCCGCCCAAAAGCCAGAAGCCGAAGTTGACAGAGTCTGGGCGGGGGCGTGGCGAGGGGCAGGGCGGACCGCGTGGACCTGGAGCCACGGCAAAGTCAAGTGCTGCAGTCGCCGTCGTGTGGCGAAAGTGAAGCTTACACAGCGTGCAGCGAGTGGCTGACATTTCGTGTGGCTCTTGGGTGAACGTTGAGCACATTAAATTGATGCGCTTGATGCGGATTACAAAGAACCGGTGGTTTAAAGAGAGAAAGTAATTCAGTAAAATAGTGGGGAACAAGAATAGTTAAGCTTAAATAACATTAAAATAGCTAATTAAAATGATTTAGATAATTTCACGCATTTAAATAAATGGACAAGTCCAATAGTGCGTATACGTAATAAATACGCCACCTAAACGGAAGTTTGGCGAACTTATCAAAAGCTTTGTATTAACTCACACCATCAGCCACTAGATGGGGGCACTTAAAGCTTTGTTTGAAATTGAAACCTAATGCAAATTAATGCAGGTAGGCCAACTTTCCCATAAGAATAATGTTAGCCAGAATTTTTAATGATTTTTCCAGATTAGCTTTGGGTACTATTCCACAAATATTCCACACTCTATGCAAATGTCTGCCAGTCATAGGCTTGCAATTAAATATCGAAATATGTATGATTAACTAAAAAAAATTTCCCCGCTCAAATGATTTTCATGCCAAGACAATAAAAAGACCAACGCAAAACTGCGGATCAGAGAGCGAGAGGCAATGGAATGGCAATCACTGTAGTGCCGAGCAAATAAGCCCAGAGAGAGGACTCTATATTTTGTTTATCTTTCAATTCCATCCCAACCCGGGGAAATGCAACGTTGAGCAGTTGTCGTTTGGTTGGCATGAAAGCGGTACACACAGCTCCGCAGTCCGGAAACGATCACGTATTTTCTGGGAATCGATCACCCACTTACTGAGGAATTTTATCACAAAAATCGGTCAATAAACTGGTAATCTTCTTTTATGATAAGTCCTACTTTTTGAAAATTATGCTCAAGTATGATTTAGCAAACCACCTATTTTTTGACCTATCACAATTATTAAAATAGTTAGTCAGTTTAAAATTTTTTTTATATTATTAGTTTAAAAAATCCAGTAAATGAAATGCATTTTTTAGGATGCATTTCCGTTTTGGGAAAAACAAGTTATAAAAATTATCACTTCCACAAAGCCATTTATAATATAAATATTTGTAGTTTTGTGCAAATAATAGTGTTGTCTTTTCTGCTAAGCATTTGAAATAATCATGGATAACAGCAACCCAACGCCCGATAATGCGCTGTGGACACTTCAGGGTCGGGACCGACCAAGTCCCGCCCAGAGGTTGCACAACCTCACCTCGGCCGCCGCATCGAACTCATCTGCCGGTCTGCCCCTGCCCCAGAACATCTTCACCAACCCAGCCATCCAGCCTTCCAGCGTGATCAACCTCAATCACTCCACCGACGTGGTGATCGGTCCCATGACCCAGTACCAGGGACCGGTATCCATATACTATATGGACTACATGGAGGCACACGCCATGCAAACGGCAGCAGGTGAGTCCCCGCTCCTGAATGCAGTGGAAAAATGTAAATACAGTTGGCAATCTAGAAAGTAAACCACCAACAAATTTAAATTTAAAATTTTTTATATTTATTTTATTATTCTTATTAGTAATATTTAATGGTTTTTTAATTAAACTTGAAGTTTACAATTTTTTATTTACTTTCTACTTTAAAACAAGAGAGAACGCTATAGTCGGGTGCCCCGACTATCAGATACTCGTTACTCAGGTATAGGGAGTGCGAGGAAGATGGAGATAGAAACTTTGATCACGCATAACTTTTTAACGAATGGTCCGATTTGAAAAATGTCTTCTACATTTCGATAGGTATTGATAAACACAATAAAACTGCATTTTTACTTTTCCGAAATATTTAAATTTTTAAAATCGTATATAGGCGATTGTGGGCGTTAAAGGGGGCGTGGCACCAGTTTGAAACAAACTTGCCCTGCGTAGGAACTCCTAGAATCTGCATACAAAATGCCAATCTTCTAGCTTTTATAGTTTCCGAGATCTCAGCGTTCATACGGACGGACAGACAGACGGACAGACAGACGGACAGACAGACGGACAGACAGACGGACAGACAGACGGACAGACGGACAGACGGACAGACGGACAGACGGACATGGCTATATCGACTCGGCTAGTGACCCTGATCAAGAATATATATACTTTATAGGGTCGGAAACGCTTCCTTCCAGCTGTTACGTACTTTTGCACGAATACAATATACCCTTTTACTCTACGAGTAACGGGTATAACTATATTTAAAGAAGTTAAATATTGCAAGGGTTAGCACCTCAGCATATTTCATTTACTAACTAGACGACGGATAAATAATATCTATGAAATCAAATTTATGAAACGATCTTTAAAAATATTTGATTGGAAAGACATTTTTTTTTAATCTAACAAACGTTTTTAAAATGTTGTATATCTTGATAAAAGCTTCAAGTCGGTTTAAATTTGAAATGAAACAGAGGGTATTAAAATTACAGTCAAAAATTTGCAACCCAATAAAGGAGACGTCTCGAACCCTATAAAGAATATATATATTCTTGACCAGCAAACTAGTTTCTAAGTTCTATTTCTATTTCGGTGAAAGATTTTGAACGTCTTCTTCCTATTGCATGCAGTATATAATTTTATGTGGGTCGGATCGGACGACTATATGAGATAGCTCTCACAGTAACAGTCGGAAAAATAAATGAAAAACAATTAAAACATCGTGATTTTTTAACTTATACTGATATACTCCAAGAAAATGTAATTCCCAACAGCAAGGGTATACAAACTTCGGCTTTACGAAATTCGCGTCCTATCTTGCTTATAAAGTATTTTATCCACATTTGGTTGTCAAGTATATTTATCTAGAAAATTGTAATTAGCAATTAAGAGTTCTCAAGGTCTTGTCCTAAGCCAGCTTTGTTGAAAGAATTACTGATAACTTAAGCTAGTGAGAAAACAGTTATTGGCAATTAGATCAATAACTCGATTGTCCACTATGGATCGAATATGGGGTCAACAATTAAGCGGGAAGAACAGAACCGATTAGTGAATAATCGGGGTAATTGAAATGCAAATCAAGTGTCGGGATTCGTGGAACCCCCATATAAATTTATATGGGAATACGAGCACTCGCTCAGTTGCACTCAGATGAAGAGAGAGAGAGAGAGAGAGAGTACGACTATCCAGAGTTTGTGGATCAATCTTTAGCCTTTTGCGATGCACAGCGCATATTGCGCATACGTCACGTAGTACGGAAGAGAGAGGTAGAGCGAAATACGATAAGTAAGAGGCGTAAGTCTGTAAAATGTGATATGACAAAACAAAAACAACAACAAAAAAAGGCTGCCGGTACCATGACGCACCCTCTCCTCACCCCCGCTATCCCCGGCCCCTTGGCCTTCCGTCACACAAACAAACACAAAACATGTCAACCAAGGGTAGAGCGAGATGGCTGCTTTCCAGCGCTTTTGCCATTTCTGTTTCTGTTTCTGTTCCATCGACAGCTGCGCCGCATTTCAGTTGTTTGTGCGACGGGTTCAGGTTCAGGTGCGGTGGCGGCACTAGTGGCACTCCGCTGTCCGATTATCGGTCAAACCCATTATAAAACAATAAATATCCAGACCTCCAGACCGCTTCTGCTCCCAGTATTTGTGCAGCCCATTTGGTTATGTTGATTCCGATGATTCAGCGAACAATTACTCATAAAAGCTAGTCCATAATAATGCCCTGTGTTACGAGTATCAAAAAGTTGTGATAACCGAGTGTCCGCCACCGTGGAACAAAGTGCCATGAAACTGCTGCTAAAAGTTCACTCGGAACGCACGGCGCGCAGGCGACGCACACCGGAGCCCAGTTTAACCCCCTCCCGGGACTCGTCAAGTATACAACAACAAACACAATGATATATGATATCACTGACTTTCTACTACTAAAATTATATATTTAGTTGTAGCAATCAGGGGGTGCTAAATAAATCTTTTTTTGTATGTGAATAATGTTTTATATTTGTCATCCTCAAAGAAATTTTTCATATAAAATTTTCGTTCCTAAAACAAAGGTCTTCAAAATGTTAATAGTTTTAAATTAAATTACATTTAAGATTAAGTAAAACAAAGAAAATCAGCATAATCACTTAAATAAAACTAAATAACATTTTTTTTATTATAAGCCATTCAACTTTAGTAGAAAATAAAAACAAAAAATGTTTTTATTTACTTAGTATCTGAAATATGTCCTATGATTAGCGATTTACAAAACTATAGCTCATAAAATCGATGCTGAAATCGACCATAAGAGCACACAAGAGAAATTAAACCAACATGTCAATACATTTGACGCCATAACAATGTTTTAAAAAAATACAATCGAAGTCTATTGAAATGTAAATCTATTACTTTTTTAAAGCGTTTTAAATAAGTCATACCTATTTAAATGATCCCATTTTTAGCTCGGTGTACACCAAATGCTAATTGATTGACTTTCGCTAATTTAGGAATCAATAGCCACAATGCCAATAGCAACGGAAACGCAAATCGCGGGCATGATAGATCTCCATCAAAGCGACTCACACGGAACACCATCCTGCTGATCACGCTGATCCTGCTGGTCCTGGCCACCGGATTGGTGGTGCTCTTCGTGGAGCTCAATCGATCCCGGCCCGTGTTGCCCAGTAACAAGGCCATCTACTTCGGCAACAACTACGACCACGACACGTGTAAGTGGACCGGACTCGGATTGTCCTCATAGCCAATTCACCAATTTTGCAGTTCCGAATCTAGGAAACGGCCACCTGGTCATCGACAGGGAGCAGTGGGGAGCCGCCAAGACCACGCCCGCCCTGACCATTCCCCTAAAGCGGCCCATTCCCTATGTCCTGATCACCCACATCGGAGTCCAATCGCTGCCCTGCGAGAACATCTACAAGTGCTCCATCAAGATGCGCACCATCCAGGATTCCGCCGTTGCAGAGAAGCATTTGCCGGACATCCAGTCCAATTTTTACGTAAGTGACTTAATATTTTTAAATGGTCGATCAAAAATGTGGTTTTGAATAAAAAAAATGCTTGAGATTGGCCGTTTCAAACCAATATTTCCGATTCAACCTTGATTAACCATTATTAAGCAAACAAATACATTTTTTGTGCTCTAAACAAAATTTAAAATTATGAAAGGCTTTTGTTATCAAACTAAAAACCTAATGCTCCAAATAAAAATTTAATGTTAAACCAATTTTAACTTACTTTAATTAAATAACGTATTCTTTTAAAATAATTAATTTTGCCTTTGATAAATACATATTTCAAATTGTATCACGACCATTTTTATTTAAGTATGCTTAGGAAATACAAAAAAATATTTCGAGTGTAGTGGGAAAAAGAAATCCCGGCGCGTGCATTTGTGTTCCCGGCACGTTCACGTGCCATTTTGGGCATTTTGCTTTCCGCTTACGCAAATTGTCAAATTTCCAAATTTGTATCAACCAGGTTTCGGATGAGGGCAATATCTACGTAGGCCGCGGCTGGGACTGGGCCAACACGTATGCGAACCAGACGTTGGCCGTTACCTTTATGGGCGACTACGGCCGGTTTAGGCCCTCTGCCAAACAAATAGAAGGTGTCCAGTTTCTGCTGGCCCATGCGGTGGCCAACAGAAATCTGGAGGTTGACTACAAGCTAGTGGCCCAAAATCAAGTAAGAAAATAATCTAAATAATCTAAAAATAAACCATTTTTACATATGAGATTTCCAGACTAAGTCGAGCAAAAGTCCGGGCGCCTATGTCTTTCGAGAAATCCGGAGCTGGCCGCACTTTTACGGCTGCAATATGGACGGGGCACCGGCCTGCGGCATCGAACTGGGAATGAAACCAGAATCGTGGAATGGCAATCAATAGCTACAGACTTCTTACCACCTAAGTGAATCCAAGCACAAAATATAGTTAATACGAATACTAAGGCGAAACGGGCTTTCTTTTAATCGGTTATGCTGTCTCGAAAACAGAGCAAACCGGTTCGGAGCGGGCGGTTTATTTATAGAGCACCTATCTCCCTCTCTCTGGGTCTGTTTGTTCAACTGTCGCTCAAAAAGCTGGAAATTCCCAAGCCGCAGTCAACCTATCAGTACCAGTACCAGTACCAGTGCCCCGATCCCCAAACCCCTATAGACGGGCTTTAACACTCATGGGCTATACTTGTGTGTGCATATATATGTCAGCCTTTGTCCGCCAGTACAACATCATTATCGGAAGCCTAACTTCACTCGTATTGATGGTGTTGTGATCACTGAAGCTGCCTTTGTCATTTATCTGGTTTTCAAGTTAATTAATATACAAAATAAAGAGTATGAGTATCGTTTGGGATGATTACTTTCTTTACTTGATGGGAAATTGCCCAGTAATTTATTATAAATAAATATATTGGATATTCCCGAGTTGTGGGTGCAAGGTAATCTTCTCTTTATCATCGCTGAAATTCAGTTTTAGGAGTGACGTACATACATCGGACATGTACAATAAATTAAAAACTAATATAATGGATATTCCCCTGTTGGGGGTGTGTACTTTGACCCCCTTATCACCATCGACCTTCAGTTCAACCTCCTCTAAAGAGTGACGTACATTCATTGACTAATTAATACCACAACGCCTTGAGTAAAAATTATACCTACTCTGCGGAACGAATTTTTGGCTAAAAACAATGACGAGAGTCTGGCACGTGTAGAGACCAAAAAAAAATAACACAAATACGAAGAGGGAGCCAAGCAAAGTAAAATAATTAATAATAATTAAGAAAAGAAAATGTGTAAAGGTAGATTGTACAGAAATAGCCATGGTGATTGATTTTGCAGCTGATGTAAAGAAATTATTAACTGCTTCATCGAAAATGATTTACAATAATTACTGACGTTTTTCGCAATAAAATGGGTCAACAAAGAATAGATTGCCTGGCTACAAAAGGCATAAATCATTAGCGGAAGTTCAAGCCTCAACTTGAACTGCAGCCATATAAAATTCATAAATTTAAAAGACCACTCAAGAGCTTATCAGTATTTCAAAAACACATAGAAACAACATTTATTAACGATTAAAATTTGTCAAGCTTTCTATTTATTTTTATCTTTGTTTTTTTTACACACAGAAAGAACAGAGTATTTTGAATTCGTTTCGCCAATTTATTGTTCTTTACGATTTATCCATCAACAGTTTCCCGGAGCCCTTTTCAGACTATCAACGATCGCCGAACCGCTGTTCGCCCATAATTACATTAAATATTTTTCAACGCAAGTACAATGGGTCAAGCTGGAGTTGGGAGAGAAAAAGCCTGTACACAAAATGAAATAGCCAAAACCGATTGCGGGCCACAAACAAAACAATTCTCGGAAATGGTAGCGCAATTTAAAATGCTCACATTTTTGCCCACACTGCACTGTCTGTACCAAAATTGTTCGGAGCCGGGAGAGTGCCGGAGATCTGTGTTGTTTATTGGTTGAACAAATAAAAAAATATAATACCTATACACCACCGATGTGTCGGTGTGGTGTAGTGTGGACAACTAAACAAAAACAAACAGTCATCGTCAGGTGGGCAGGCGAACTGGAAAGCTGGAGAGCCCGATCTTCAGCCACTGGGCCTAGACAGAAGTATCATTATATATTTGACTAATATCTGGAAGATATAAAAAAAAACCACGAAAACAAGAACAGGTTCCTCCACTTGGTGACGCACGGGAAAACCGAAAAATGCAGGTCTGAAAATGCAGGTTTTGGAATTCTTTCAGATTCTTCGGATCCCTCACTTTCCGTTAAACTTGTTTTAATCGAAGAAAAGCTGTTTCAGTAGTAAGTAATTTAGGTGTTATGGGCAACTTGATTGTATAAATTCGCGGAACAAAGTTTAATTCAGTTTACATTTGATATTAGTCAGATCAGTATTTTTAGATCCTCTTATATATTTTTTTGAATCTAATTCTTTAGACGATCTTTATGAATTTAACAAATTAAGATCATTTAAAGATGGTATCACTCATTATAATGTAGCCATTACTCATGTTGACACAGTCATAGTCTTCAAACATTAAGATAATTTTTAAATTTAAAATAATATTTTGAACATATTTCTAGACGATCAAAACAAATTTAAGCGGCATTACTTTACAACATTCTGAATTTAATAAAAATGGCGATTAAATGGCTTGCCTAGAAACAACACTTCCTATTTTTGGTTTGGGCGATAGCGTCAGTTTTTGTCATCTATCTTAAAACGAAATTACACAAAATTAACCTTATCACACATTATAGAGCTACGGCGCTTTTATTTTTTTAATTTTTTATTTTACACTTGTCCATTGCGACCATATTCTTCATATTCTATTTATCTTAGTTGAGTTCTTTTTTATATTTTTTAGAAGTATGTAGGACAAGGTTTTCCACATGCACTATGAAAATCTTTTCGAAAAACGTATATTAAAATGCAAATCTGTAACGGGTTGGACTGCCTCAAAATCGGACTCAAATCAAACAACTTTGGTTAAATAATAAAAAGCCGACCGCTCTCCCTGTCTCTCTCTTTTTTTCCCAGCGCTCTGCTCTCTCTCTCACGCTCCCACACGCTGCCATTATGGACGCTCCGGCTTTTCAGGCCGCTGCGATTTGATCGCCGCTCAGTTGATCAGAGTCACTCGAACGCGCCGCTGCTCAACGATTCGGAATTGGCGCGAAAAAATAAAATAATTCAAGTTACAAGTTTTGTATATAGTATAATCGCTTGAAGATTTACGTGTTGCATCGGATTCGTCGGCAATTGGAAGTGCGTAAAAAATACCAAATATATAAAGAGTATAACACACCTCAAAATAACCAAGTTGTATATGGCTAAAGCACCCAAAAATGTGAAATACAATCATTGTAATTGACCAATTAAATCAGTGCTAAAGTGTAAACTAGTTCATATTAAATATATGCAGTTTACAAAGCGTTATTTTTCCGAGGAATGCTAATTACCCTTTCGAAAACCCCAAAGGAAACAGAATATTTCCTGGGAAAAAACAGCTATCGAAACACCGATCGAAAATCAATTAATTTGCACATAGGCCATATTTAATGATAATTTCGAAAACACGTAAAACACCAGAGTTGTTAATTATTATCGATTCTCCAGACAGAACGAAGTCAACCAACAAAGAGACACCTATACTGTTCTGTTTCTGTGAGTGTGTGTGCGTGTGTGTGGCAATGGCCGCCGCTCAAATGGCAGTGTATTGGTGCGCTCAGTAATCGTAAACTCAAAGTGCCATTCCGTTCCTCATTTTTTGTAGCCCCTGCCGTTGTTCGGTATTCCATTCCGTGTTATCTCAAACGCGCGCTCTGTGCCAACTCTAGCACATCGATACTAACATATAGTCCCTCAAAACTCAATATGGTTCTGAATTTATCGGAGTTCTGGGAATTATATGAAAGAAAGTTACTGTCTTGTATTTGGCAAACCCCTTGAGGAAATTGAAAAACTTCCAACAAGACGTCAGGCCATAAATATTATGATCTATCGACCTCTCGAAGACGTCACAAGAGACTTTCATATCGTATATCCCAAATTGAGCTAGTAGCAAGTGTTTTTTGTGTTTCGTATTTCTCGGAATCCACTTAAGTAAATTTACTACGTCAATGATTATAGCTAATTTGCATAAGCCTTGCTTTCATGAGAGCTTATTGACCAAGTTTATGAATCGAATTGAGGGGTATACAATATATGTGAGCAGTAAACTGAATATAGCCGAACACTATTCGAAACCCGCGTTTATAAATTATACGAACTTCATTGCTACACAGCAGCCACACAGTTTTTTATTCGTGTTTTAAAAACTTTGTGTAGACGGGCCCTCAGGCAATCGAGCTTATCAACAATCGTGTATACATGAACTAGAAGCGTTGATTATTCATATAAAGCACAATGAAACTGGCAATTGAGTGCCCTAATGGACTATGATAACATTTACAATTATTTAAAACAAATAAAGTGATGCCAACATTTTACAAAATATTTATAATAAATGTATTGTTCTGAATTTAAATCAAAAATGGTGCCCTAAAACGATTTTATCGAACAATCCAACAGAATATATCAAACTTAAAAACATTTTTATGAAACAAAAAACGGCATTTTTAATTCCCACACCTAAAGTTCTTGAAACAATATATATATTTCCTCCAGTAAAGTAAGCACGGAGTGAACGCAAAGTTAAACCCATTTAGACTCAATACAAACAATAATTTTCTTCGAAATTTATCATTTGACTTGCTCATTATCAACCAGTTAACCGGGAACAAAAAAAAAACCTATACTTATTTGCAGATGCTCATAATGTGATGTTTGCCCAGAGCTGCGCCGAGTCAGCCGATCTGCCATAAAAATCTAATCGCCGACGAAAATGTTCTTCCTAATCTGTTAAATAAGAACGCCAACACACAACGTTCAGAGATCCAGAGGAAATATAAATCTGGTTGCGTGACTGCTCCGATCGCCCGACATGCATTGCAGCAATGAAACGGAAATGATCCAATGTCCCAAGACGAAACGCCGGCTCATCGATCCTTCTGCCCCCAAAAACTGCAGTACTTCGTCCACGGACTCGGGTGTTATATTGAACGATAATGCGGCGGCTTTCCGGCCGGAGAAGGAAAAGGAGAAGGGGACCAAAGACGGGGGCACTGACGAAGGGCAGTTCCAATCAAAATCGGAAACGAAAACGGAACCCAAGCGTATCAGCATCGAGCATTCTGTGAATATAACAAAGGAAAATGCTGGCAAATCATCTTCGCCGACGGTTTCCATACGGAGCACCACCATTTCCATTGTGTCCATCGATGAGAATGCCATCGACTCCAGTTGTATTGATAGTGATTCGGAGGCCGATGCCGAGGATTATACGGTCCAGAAGCTGGGTCAACAGGTCACCTACCCGCCCAACAGTTCTCACCTGCGTGACCTCAACCAGGGTCTCACGGTGATCAGCCGCCAGGTGGCGCCCGGCCAGGCGGAAGTCCCACCTCCAAATCCTTTGGAAGCGGGAGTCGTGGCCAAGCAAATATTGAACGGAAGTCTGGCCGTGGCCACGCCCACTTCTCCGGCAGGCGGAACAGCCCAGGGAATTGGCAGCATCGCGCTGACCAACTCCACGGATGTGACCTTCGGCGATAAGCACTTCTACGAGGGACCCGTGACGATACAGCAGTTTCTCATCGACAATCGGGACAAGTGGAAAGCGGGCGAGGGCCCGGGAGGTGGACAGGATAATCCCGCCTTCAATGCTGGAGCAACCGCTAATGGCAGTGCGCCGGGTAAGTTATCCTTTGATTATTTAATATATTAACATGTTTAGGACAAGCAAAACTAACTAACGTTATACAAACGTGACTGCCAAACTTAAATAAGTTAATACCGTTACCAAATGGTTATATCCATTATTAAGAAAATCAATTGTTAGGGGCACTTTAACATTAATATTTCAATTAATTTTACTAGTCAAGGCTGTCATTTCTTTATTACTAGCAAAAAGTATGTAAATGTATACACATGTAGCAGTGAAATTAATAGTTTTGTTTGATGCTGATATCGATTATAAAGAATAGCAATTTTCGGGCTGCCTTGCATAATACGATATTAATACTAAAAATATTTTGGAGTGTCTAAAAAATTGATAAAAAACTTATCTTAATTTATGCAAATCAAGCAGTGACAACAATACTGATAGTTGATATTGATACCGTATCTTATAAAGATTTTTAAATAGTTAAGAACATTTAGTTCTACCAAAAGCAATCTAAGCTTACACAAATAATAATGGTATAAATAATAATAGTATTAATTATACAACATATTATAATCCATAATATTATAATATTATTTTTAAAGTTTTTCATTTTTATATTTGAATACAAGTAATGAAATTACGTAAATAATTCACCAAATACTTTTGCACATGCATCTTAACAACTTTGTTCGATGTATATCCTTAATTATATATTACCTTTGCTATTTCCTGCTGCCTCTGTGTACATTCCTTTTCTGTCCTCACCTTACCTCGGTTTTGTTTGCTTTATTGGGCGATACGAGCTCGTGCGGCGATTTGTTTACTCAACCCAGTCAGACAGTTGGCCTGGTCTAACGACCGTGCTGCGAATGGTAGATTACCAGATGGCCCACAAGGCGCTTGAATTTATGAGATACGCATAGAACAAATACTACATTGTACTAGAATAACTAAATAAATGCATTTTATTGCGCAAGGCCACAGAGTTCTACAAATGTGTATCGGAAAATTTTTAAGCAAAGTGTTTAGGTCTATAATCAAAATCGAAGGTTAACTATAAAATTAATTGAATACAACAAATCTATCATATTTTAAAAATATGGAAAATAACATAAAAATAAAACATTTTAAAATGCTGCATGAGAGATTTTTTGGAAAAATGTCTCTCTTTTTAAAACGCGCTATTAACTCTCACCTTTTTCCATGGTTTTTCCATTTCTGAAAAACGTGTTAAAAAGGTACAAATAAAATTATAATAGGTAAGGAAATTATTTACGCTTATTAAAATACAGTAATTTGTATGGAAAGTCACAAGCCCAAGTCGTTCTCCCATAAAATCTTCATATTCATGAGCGAAGTTTTGGCACCAAGAATATTGAACATTTTTTAATTCTTCAACCTTTTTATAGCACCATGAAAAATATAAAAATAGATAGCATCAGCAATTAAACCAGTTCTTCTATGTTAATGCTTTTAACAACGTTATATTTATGGTGAAGAGGAAAAGAACAATTTCATTCAAGAAAAGAAAATGTATCTCTGCCGATCCAAGGTCCCTTGGGCCGTAAATCAAAACGGTGAAAACTTGCGTTAAATGCTAGAAAAAACAATAGCAGCTGCCCACATGCAATTGTTTACTTGAATGATTTTCACAATTACCATAATTAAAACGCAAGCCAAAAATCAAAATCCAATTGCATTTTAACCAGGCGACTGGGTGTAAATTTAGTTAGCTGTATTTAAGTTGTCGTATATAAAGAGGGGTGATTCCCACTGGATCTGGCAATAAATTCGCTCGCGCTTCTGTAGAGTGGGGGATTTTTTTTATTGTGTACTTGTGTGCCTTAAACACTTGCTAAATACAAAAGTCAAATAACAAGAACGAAACAGGCATACTCACGAACCTGGAAAAGTACCAACCGATCGGCTTCAGTTGTTCATATGGAGCGATCGGACAATGTCGAGGATCGCGCTTGAAATTTGCCTAAAGTGTCACGAGAAAATCGTGGATAATTCCAGCCGTATCGAGTGTGATAATGGGCTGTGCGGCCGGTTCTATCATTTAAAATGCACAGAATTAAATGAGGATCAGCTTAATATGCTGGATGCGGTGCCCAATTTGAGGTGGAAGTGTGATTCTTGTCTGGGCAGGCTTAAAACTGGTGCAAAAATGAGCCAGTGGTTAGAGAATTCCCTGCGGGAGCACGAAAAGCGTTTGGAAATCCTAGAACAGGGCCTACAGAAGCGTAAGAAAAAGTTTTTATCTATCAAAAAATTGCGTAATTTTTTCATACCAAAATGTTTATTTTCTGGTCTTTGAAATTCAATATTATATTTATCAAAACTCATTTCTCATTAAATAAATTATTTAAATATTTCATTCCTGTGGGAGTATTTTACATGTCTTTGTTAACAAAAGTAATATTTTGCCAGACACCTTTTTGTTGTTCAAAAAAAGATTTTTATATCAATCAAACAGTTAATTAATTCCACATTTGTAAGAAAGTCGACTCACAGAAAGACTTGACACCTTTTTGGGTAACTATCTTATTTCAAAAGATTTTTGTATCAATCAAACAGTTAATTAATTTAAAATTTTTAAGAAAGGTGATTTAAAAAACATCAGACATAAAAGGAAAACCTTAAAATTACCGAAACTGAATGATTTTACTTTATATTTTATGTAAAAATAACAATGACTTTACTATATAAGAAGGTTTTCAGGTTTTCATTGAAAGTTTTGGGGACTTATCAGAATAAAAAAGAAAAATTTGACAAAATATACCTTGAAATCATAAAATCCAAAGGAATTTTACCTTTGCTAGTTTTGTTTAGGGATGACCTTTTACTAACCCACATTTTTACGACCATTTTGCAGGTTCCAAGCTGAATGATCCTCCGCAGACGCCACCTATCTGCCCCTTTTTGCCCAACACAATTGGGCGCAAGGCTGTCACAATAACGGTGCTTTTCGTGCTATTCACCACTCTGCTGGGCATCGTTCTGGCCACAACAACCAACCTCTTCGGCAAGACGTTGAACCAAAGTAAGATCGCCGATGTCGACGATTCCAGACCAAATATTCCAATCAATTCAACAATAGGTACAGTTTTGTCCCCCACTAAGTGTGCGAAAATGCTTCCGACTTATTCAGAAACGAATTGGCTACTGTGCTCTAACATATACCATCCACCCACCCAACCAGCATGTGAATAACCCATCCTAATTTCATTTTGTATATAATAATTCATTGGGAAAATGTGTGTTTTATGTGTGTCGGTGCATTATCCATTAATCTGCTCGAATTGCGCGTTTCTGATCACTGGATCAGTGTTGTGAAGTGAACCATGAATCAAAAGTGTGGCCTAAAGTTCAATTGAATGGAATATTCCAGTGAGGTCGACCTAGTGTTTCACCAATACATTTACCTACAAAACAATGATAGTTTGGCCAAAATTAAAAAAAAGTATTATTTTTTTATGTTTTCTAATGTTTTTCAAAAGTTTTTTTGAAAACTATTATAAATATCTTCTAAAAACCTAAACTGAATCTTTGTCTGTTTATCCCAAGTTTAATTTGTTAGTAGATGCGTTAAATACATCAAACATTTCGATATTTTGACAGGCAAAATAAAAGTAAGTCGAAAGAAGGAACCTTAGTGAACCTTAAATTGAATTAATTATGTTGATAAAATGCTGTTTAGAGTTTTGACCAAAAATGGTTAATATAAAACATAAACAGTTGTTTACGAGACTAAAAAAATATATTACTTCACAAATGTAACATCCCTAATATTTTGAAGTGAACAAGAATTTAAAATTGAGAAACCGCGTTTAAGTAAATAAATTGGTCACTCCCATTGTTTTGACCGCCTCGGTGTCATGCTAACCACAAAACTCTTCATGCAGGCGACTTGGATGTCGTCGATAATAGCACCTTGGTCATCTTGAAGGTGGCCCAGTGGGGCGGTAGGCCAGCCAAGAATAAGCTCGCTGAGCAGGCGCTGCCCGTCAACCGGGTGGTCATCTCGCACACCGCCGCCGAGGGCTGCGAGTCCAGGGTAAGTTGATCCCACATCCCATGTCCCGACCATTCATCCCCGTAAACCTGTGTTAACATCCACATTCCCCATTGAAGGAAGTTTGCTCCGCAAGGGCGAAAGTGGTCCAGTCCTTCCACATGGACAGCTGGGACTGGGATCACGTCGGCTACAACTTTCTGGTGGGCGGCGATGGGCGTGTTTACGAGGGGCGTGGCTGGAACTATGTGGGCGCCCACACCAAGGGCTACAATAAAGGCACCATAGGGATATCCTTCATTGGAACCTTCACAAGAACGAGGCCCAACGAGCGGCAATTGAAGGCCTGCCAACTGCTGTTGGACGAGGGTGTCCGGCTCAAGAAGCTGACCTCCGAGTACCGGCTTTATGGCCATCGCCAACTGAGCGCCACCGAAAGTCCCGGCGAGGAGCTCTACAAGATCATCCAAACTTGGCCCCACTGGTCGCACGAAATTTAATAACTCATGTATTATATATATTTCAAGTAAATAGAGTCTGTATAAATATGACCAACAGATGCACTTTATTTTATCTCATTTCCTCACATATCCCCCCCCCTGAAAAAATTTTAAAATGAAGCAAAGATTTTCCAATGGTTGAGTTGAATGGAATATCGAGCTGTTTGTTTTGGGTATTCGAATATTGGAAGATGTTTAAGGCAGGCATGCAAAACTTTATTAAAATCTAGAAAAATACTTTAATTTGTTTCTTATTTCATATCTAATATTGATTGATCGAATTGAATTCCTAAAGAACTTGTAAATTATGTTTTGTTTTTTCCAACTGATAAAAATATTTCAGAATCTTGTAGTTTACTTTTTTCACAATTAAGCAATCAAACCATAACCATTTATATTCTTAAGGCATTTTATTATGATTCCGTTAATTTTAATTAAACAAGTTTTAGGTTGTGAATAATTTTTTAAACAAATATCTTTGGAATGTGGCTAAGCTTTAGTTGTTTAAAATTTTTTTAAAATTAATTTGTTTGATAAATTTGAATTTTTAAAATTTCATATTTTTATTCTGAGATTTAGCTATGGTTTTTTAAAAGCTATTGTTTCCAAAAAGGTATTGCATCCTTCCTTTTAAAAACACCTAAGGTTGATTAAAACAGCTGATCTTTTTGAACCAGCCGAAGTCCATGTTGACGGAAAACTAGTCGTAATCGGGATAAAGAGCTGGGGTGGCTTGACCACTCGAGGAACTCTAGAACCTCTCAATCTGCCGGTCTCCAGGGTAATAATCTCCGATACTGCGGCCGAAATATGTGAGACGAGGGTAAGTAAAATCTATATATATTTTTTTTATGAACCTTTTAACAACCCAAGAACGTTATTGTTTCCCATTTAGGAGTCATGCTCTTATTGGGCCCGAGTCATCCAGAGCAGGCACATGGACAACTTCAACTGGGCTCAATTGGGATACAATTTCCTGGTGGGCGGGGATGGACGTATTTACGAGGGGCGTGGCTGGAATAACGAGGGTGCCCATACACGGGACAACAACAACAACAGCATTGGTATTAGCTTTATGGGCAACTTTCGACGGAACGAGCCGACGCAGAAATCATTGGTTGCCTGTCAACTGCTCATCGATCAAGGAGTGCGCCTTAAGAAACTAAAGCCCGATTATCAACTCCTGGGACATCGACAGATAACGGGCACCCTAATGCCCGCCGAGGAGCTCTACAGGATCATCCAGACCTGGCCGCACTGGTACAACTTGACAAAGACGTGGCCCGACCTACATATGATTCAATAGCTAGTTGTACTTTATCAAATTAAGATCAAATAAAGGTGCCAAAAAATATATATTTGAAAATTATTTATTTACAAAATATTTGAGGTTTTTTTTAAGGTTTTAACACAAGCACCAATCAACTCATAATAAATAACAAATTTATTTAAAGCAAAAATGTTTAACATTATTGGTAGCAAGATTCATTAATATTTAAGTAAGCTTAATATTTAAAATATAATGGGTTATAGTACTTAACTGATTCTAATTAAATAAAACAAAACTTGGTTGTTGGCCTACTAAAATGAACATAAAAATAGTGTTTTAACTATTTCATTATTTTCTTTAAACGAATGCCGCTTTAAATAAACTAACCAAAATTCCAAATTAATATTAAATGAAATAAATTATCATTCAAAACTAAACAAAACTCTGAATAATCCACAGACTTGGACAACATTGGTGGCGGCTTGATTCTGAGGTTTGTGGAGCGTCAACAATGGCTCGCTCAGCCGCCGCAGAAGAAGATTCCGGATCTGGAGCAGCCCGTGAGAATGGTCATAGTAATGCCCACCAACTCGGACAATTGCACCACCCAGGCGCAGTGTGTGTTCCGAGTTCGCCTGCGTCAGTCCTTCGATATAGAGTCGGTGCAGGAGGACGACATAGTCTACAACTTCCTGATCGGCGGCGATGGCAACGTGTACGTGGGACGTGGCTGGGATCAAGTGGGCGCCCACATGGCCGGCTATAACTCGAAGAGTCTTAGCCTGGCCTACATCGGATCCTTTCAGACTCTCAAGCCGTCGGACAAGCAGCTCAACGTAACTCGTCTTTTACTGGCCAGGGGAGTCAAGCTGGGGAAGATTGCCCCCAACTACAGACTCACGGCGGCCAGCAAATTGGAGCCAAGTCTAACACAATACAAGGCGGATGCCCTCTACCAAAGCTTCGGCAATTGGACTCATTGGTCGTAAATAGTTCTATAAGAGTATATGTATGCGCAGCTCCGATTTTTGGATATTCCCAATCATTTTCGCTTGATATTGTAGCATAGATGTTCTCCCTTTAATGTGTGGCATATTCGATTTAGATAGAATTACGATTCGTTTGAAAAAATGTGATATTAAATAAATGAAAATGATTAACTTGATGCATTTCAATTATGTCAGGGGGTCAAAATCTAGCTGATAACTGGAATCGGGGATTTTTCTTAGGTACCGTCTGGAGCTGCTTGAAACCGGAAAAGGTGACTTACAAACAACATATGTAAGATGTCGTGCTAACTAGGTTTCTTTCTCCTCTTTCGTTGATTAAGAGTTCAGGGGAATCCCCACTTTTTTAATTCTACCTGTTTGTCTTATTTGCGACTGCTCGTTTGCTTTTGGCGATTACTCCATAAAAAGAACTCGCAAGCAATAATAAAACAATTTTTTATAACAATAATGTTGATTTCTTTTTATACAAGAAGAAACTCTTTAATTACAAAAGACATGTTAATTAATGCCAATACATAGTACTCCAAATTTTATTAATAACAAATATGTTTTGAAAGCTCATAAAATAAACAAGGAAGCACCCTGTAACGCTCGTGTTTTAATTTTTAATCGAAAACTTTAAAATTGAGCGATGAACAGCCTCAATCTTTATCTCAAATAATAAACGATGGGCTCGAAAGTGTCTTCTCAATATTTTTATCTTTCTTTAAATTCATAAAATAATATATATGTTCCATCCCAACAGTTTGACTTACCTATTAATGCTGATCAAGAATATATATATTTAAAATAAGATAAGAAACGGATGTTATTCAGTGGAAGATAATCTTTAAATATCCTTAAAAGTATACGCACAAAAAATTACATGATTAAAAATAATTAAAAATCTTTATAGATTAAAATAAAATCAAATTCGCAAGTAAACAATTCTGAAAGAAACGAAAACAAGATGCTGATTACATATACATAGAAGATAAAGAAATGCAAAGCTTTTTCGCAAGGTAAATATATATTTTCAATATAAGGCTGACTAATTTCAGTGCACATTCAGCTGTTGTTTTGACTAGGTTTCAGCATATTATACCACGAAATGCCAAATCTCGAGTTGAACGGCCGTGGAGAAAATGGGAAAAAGGGAGTGAAAATCAGACGTTTATACTTTGCAGCTTTTCTTTTGTTTTTTATAACCATTCCACTGGGATACTACATTTGGATGAGGAGTAAGCGTGAATCAATAAAAGAGTTTAAGTCATAAATACTTATAAATTTGGTCTAGGTCACAAAAACGATCTTCCTATGATTCACCGCGACGAGTGGGGAGCTAGGGAACCCCTTACAAAGGACTATCTAAATCTACCAGTCCAAAACGTTGTTATTTATCACACAGCAACTGAGCAGTGTCAAACAAAGGTAATATACATGCAACGACATATTAATCATACGACCAATTAACATTAATTATTTTGATATCCTACCCGTAGGATATTTGCATAAATAGCATACATAATCTTCAAGATTTACACATGGAATTCATGAATTGGCAAGATATTGGTCACAATTTCCTTGTGGGCGGCGATGGAGAGGTTTATGAGGGGCGTGGCTGGGATGTACGAGGTCACCCATTGAGGGGTTATGAATCTGTATCCATTAGCATTGGTTTTATTGGTACGTTCTCAAATGTGGAGCCTCCAGTGCAACAGGTGGAGGCAGCTAAGCGGCTAATGCACGATGGAGTTCGCCGGGAGAAGTTGCATCCAAACTACATGATCTATGGTCAGCGTCAATTTGAGCCCACCGAAAGTCCTGGCCAAAAACTATACGAGCTTATGAAGCAGTGGCCCCGCTGGTCAACTATTATCAGACACCTTGACTAGTTGGTAAACTAAGCTTTTAAAGATTTTTTATAACTTTTTAAAAATTTATAAGAAAGACTTTTTGGTTTGTTTGTTTGCCTTGTTTTGTGTGATTTAAACCATTTCGTTTTAATATTAAGTCAACGAATTATTATGTCAATAGCAAAGAAAAAATATCAATTAAAGATTTTCTCTAAAAGCTAGTAATAATACGGAATAACACGTCAATGCGGACACCTTCAACCGAATTTTTTTTTTGTATATAACTAAACAATAAACCTAATTATCAAAAAACAAGCTCAAAGCTGTTTGTCATTTTGATAGGATTTATATGGCCTTAACTCTTTTAATATGGAAATAACAGCTGAAAAAAATGTATAAAACTTAAAAACAGTAACAAAGTAATGAAAACGAGCGGAATAAAATTAAGTTATTTACTGCATTCGATTTAAATTCTATATATCATCAACACTACAAAATGCAAAACGAATGAAAGGAATTTATTTAGATCATAAGAATGAAAGAACAGTGTGATTTAAGAAGGTTGAATTTATTCATTATTAAAACTGTAGAAAACATGTTTTAAATTTCAAAAAGAAACAAAATTAATTTCATGTAGAAAAAGTACAAAAAAAAACAAAAGAATATAAATAAACTAATACATAATTTTAAATTACAATATCAGTAAAAAGTAATACATTTTCAAATTAGAAAAACAAAATAAAGATAAATAAATAAGAGATTGTTTATCACACAACAAAAAAAAACAGTGCCAAAGAAGAGTATGAAATAATACAAATAATAAATCCTATAGGATTTATTAATGTCTCTTATTTCTTATATTATATTTAATTTTAAGGATATTATAATTTGCATCACATAACTTCAGATCACATAAGAGCCTAAAAGGTTAAAAACCCTGAAATTCAATTTAATTTAATTTTATTTTCTATTTCCATCTTAAACTAATAGTGGAGAACAAAAGTCGTGCAAATTTTTTTTTGGGTCAGGGTGTCAAATTTTAGCAAATAACTGTAATCGATTTTTTAGGCCAGCGGACTTTTATTCGAACAAACCGGAAAACAATATGACTTGGACAACGTTCAGCTAGCGTCTTCAACATCTGCCATAGAGATTAAAAAACAAGTATACGCCCCTTGACAAAAGGGGGTTCCCATTTCTTGCACTGCTCACCACCATCTAAGATCTCTTTCTAATCTCAAGTAGGCGGCGTTTCGAGATCACTCACCCTGTTGGTAAAAAACGCACCCTATATAAAGCTTTGAAAGCTCGCAAATATAAACTTATTTATAAGTATGAATATGTCTTATTGAAGAGCTTGTGAACTGCGCTGCCACTGCGCAGTTTTGAGTGTCGGGGGTTTTTTTCTGACGCCAACAGAAATAAACAGCAATCAAGCCAACTTTTTAATGGGTCCGGCTCAGATCAGTTGTCATCGGACTTTCGTCTGGAGAGGTTTGATGTTAGTAGGGTCCAAACAACACATTTCAAGATGCAGAAAACCGTGGTAAATGATCTCCCAGAAGAGACGAAAATAAACGTGAAAAGATTTCCGCGAGAGCTCCTCTATCTCTCAGCGATTCTCCTGATGTTGGTTGCTCTGGTGGCCGGCTATTCCCTGTGGGTAATGAGTAAGTTATCTCAAACGATCGACAATTGATTGAATTTTAATTACCAATTCAATTGTTAACCTGGTTTAGCCCACTCCACGGGTTCTCCGAACAAAGGCCTGCACATACTCGATCGCAGCGAATGGCAGGGGGAACCCCCGAGCGGAAAGTATCCGCACCTTAAGCTGCCCGTATCCAATGTGATTATCCACCACACGGCAACCGAAGGATGCGAGCACGAGGTGAGTGTTCTAAGACTAAGTCTTTCAAACCAATAGCAGACATACATTTTAGAAAATGTTTTATCTTTTACAATTTTAGCGGTTTGAAAGTGGTTTCTAACTTTAGCCCATTTAGATCATCACTTATTTAAAACCATATTAATACTTTCTAATTGATATTTTCTTATTTTTAAATGTTCTTATCGAATTCTGCGGTCAGCCCACTGTATAAAAAAACCGAAATTATAATCCAAAACCGTATTGAAAAAAAATCCCCCGTCTTGTTAATTTCGTATGTTTGTCATAGACCGACATACTTTTAAGAAAAACCCCCTTTCTACCACTCTATCTTGAACTAATTTTAAGTGTTAAGAGTTTTGGCAAATATTTGTCAACTTAAAAGAAAAAAGATGATAAATGGCTTACACATGTTTAACTTATGAATATTTCTTTGCTCCATATTTTCCCAGGATGTTTGCATATACCGAATGCAGGTCATTCAGGCATACCACATGAAATCTTTGGGCTGGGTCGACATTGGCTATAACTTCCTAGTGGGCGGCGATGGTCAGATCTACGTGGGACGCGGCTGGCACATCCAGGGTCAGCACGTCAAGGGATACGGTGCCATATCGATAAGCATTGCCTTCATCGGAACCTTTGTGAATATGGAGCCACCGGCTCGACAAATTGAAGCGGCCAAGCGACTTATGGATGAGGGAGTCCGACTCCATAGATTACAACCGGACTATCACATCTACGCCCATCGCCAAGTTAGTCCCACCGAGAGTCCTGGCCAGAAACTATTTGAGCTGATGGAGCACTGGCCACGGTTTACGCCCAATGTAACCTCATGTAAGTAAAATGCATAAAAGAAAAGTGATTATAAATATGGTTAATTCTTAAATTCTTTTTAGTGCGCCTCCTTAGCAATTCCACTTTGAAGTTCGTAACCCGCCCATATTGGCTAGCCCAACCAGCCACAGTACCACTTACCCCACTCCAACTGCCCGTACAGAGCGTGAGATTCGTGGCCACCAATACTGAATCTTGTTCCACACAAGCCGAGTGCATCTTTCGAGTGCGTCTATTGCAAAGCCTCCATATCGAGAGCATTGGTTACAAGGACATTAATTTTAATTTCGTTGCGGCTGGAGACGGCCATATCTACGAGGCCAGGGGATGGGATAACAGCTGCGAATCCTCTTCAGATGGTGATCGACAGGATTCCAAAGAACTTGTCGTGGCCTTTGTGGGCCCTTCAGGTAGCAATAAAAAGCTAGCCCTAGAGCTGATACAACAGGGCATTAAACTGGGTCACATAAGTAAGGATTATAATCTAATAGACGACTCAGAAAAATAATAGAAACCCGGGGAGAAGCTTTACCAGTGATATCCCTGTGCCATCTTTAAAAGTGATACTAATTTAAGAACTATTTAAAGTCGTCGAAAATATCTCATATCGTATAGTTAAAAATATCATTCGCATTTATAGAAATAAACATGCCTTTATTGAGTTTCAACAGCTGCTATCTTTTATATCTCATTTGAACGACTACAACTAACATTTTTGAAAACATATTGCGATTAGTTTTTGATTTAAAAACCCTGACTGGCTTTTACTTAACGATATATACAGATGACACTTTGTGCTTACAACAATTGGCTAAATGAAATTGGTAATTGGAAATTTGGAACGCGAACATGGCTACTACATAAAACTTAGAAAATTAGGCTACAGTTAGTGAGACGATCATCCAATTGCAAAGGATTAGGTTTAGTGGTCCAGGATGCGCATGTTGCCGGAGACGATCTTGTTCTCCAAAATGGCGCCGGCAGGGATATCAATACGGTCGCCATGGTTGGCAATGATGATCACAGTGCCCTGCGGTGTCAAATTAATGCAACGAATTAGATTAAAGTGGGAAAAATCCAAATTTAAAACTTACGCGCAGGGAAACACCACGTCCAAACGTCACGTCACCGCTCACGGTCAAGTGATCCAGCTCAATGATGTCCGGGATGTTCGCGAAACGACCCAGGAATTCCTTCACCTTGGAGAAGTGGTTCTCGCCCAGCTTGACGAGCGGCGTGGTGGGGAACATGCGCTGCGGCGACATTACGAGACTGCCGTTCTTAAGGGTGTACAGATTCGACATGACCAACAGCAGATCAGAGGATTTCTTCACGGGCAAGAAACGGGAGCGGGGCACATTGATGCCGATGGCGCCATCGAAGCACTTCATAGCCGCACCCACAGCTGTCTCCAGCTGAATGACACGAGTTCCATTCTCCAGCGTCTTGTTGTTAACGATGATCTCCATGTTCAAAGTGCGCTCACGCAAAACGCGATCAATTGCTAAGGGAAGCAAAAAAGAAAGCAGAATTTAAGGCGGGTTTTTAATTAATTACTTTAACAGTAGGTAATTTACCTGCCAGGTTCGCCCAAATGTTGTTAGTGTTGAAGAACTTGAAGGTCTTAACGGACTTGAAGTCATCCACATGCTCTGGGGGCACCTGGGCGATTTCCAGCAAGCGCAGCTTGTTCTCCATTTGGATGAGGGTACCACCCTGCATGGAAGATAAAAATCAATTATAATAGGTACAATATAATAATATAACATAAAATTTATAGCATGATTTCTTATATGTTCATATTTCAGAGAATATTCTTATATTCTTCTTCACTGTTTTATTAGACTACATTTTAAAATTTAAGAAGCAAAAAAAAACCGTTTTGATCTGAAGTGAATAAACCCTATTATATTTTTAGCAATTATAAATATTCCTTGAATTTCCAAAATAGCTTTAATTAATAGAAAAATCAAATATATGTAGAAAATAACTACATTCTTAAAGCATTACATTTAGTTAAAACAAAAAAAAAATTATTTTTTTGTCAGCTCTTTCTTTATATTCTTCATTATATTTAACATTATCTCACCTTAACGTCAGCACGGGTCTTGTCGGTGACCTCCATGACAAACTCCACGGGAGTTGTGGCTCGCTCCTCGCCAACCAGTTTGTTGAGGATGTTTAGATCGACGGTGGCGCCAAGGTTATCGATGTTGGACAAGAAGCAGTACTCGCGGCCCTCCTCGATGAACTTCTTTAGCAGACCAGAGTTACGGAAGGTGTCGTAGAAATCACCGTGACCAGGTGGATACCAACTAAAAAAGGGTTTCTATTAAAAACTACAACATTTTAAGAATTTAGAGATACTAACGACTCCATATCCTTCTCGATTTCAAAGTCCTTGGCCACCGGCAGGTAGTGCTCGCGACTGATGCGCGGGAAGCAGCTCTGGTTGAAGGTGTGAATCTGCACGCGGAAGCCCTTGTACTTGCGCACGATCTTCTCGGTATCCTCGTCGGTATTGAAGGAGTTCATAAGAACCAGCGGCACATTCGCATCGTAGGTCTTGTTCAGGTGCTCAATTTGCTGCACGGTCAGATCCAGGAAAGTCAGGTCCGATCGCACGGGTATCACACTCTTGGGACCATGGCAACCCATCGAGGTTCCCAGACCTCCGTTCAGCTTGATGACCACCAATTTGTCCAGCATGTTGCGGATCTAAATGCAAATCGAGAGCATTATTACATGTCCTATAACGTTAAACGGGGTGGTGTGTTAGAGAGCTGAGGAATTGGTTAAGCAGCAGTGATAGCCGAATTTCATAAGGGTTTATACTACAGCGTAGTGCTTACAAACTAAAGCAGAACTAAATACAAAACAAGGTCCAAAATCTAAACAAAGCGTCCAAAGCCCAATTAGGTTAGATTCGAGCCATGTTCTCGAGAGACACAGAGCAGGAGCGAGAGATACATTGAGAGTGAGAGCCGTGAAGCATAGAAGTTTAGGTAAGGGAAAACGCTTTACCTCATTCTAGGTGCGATACACACGATTATGCATAGTATTTATAGGCAGATATAGCCATATTCAGTATTCAAATCAAAGAACATGAAAATATGCAAAGTTGGTAAAACAAATTAAGAGAGTTGTAATATCATCAGGATGAGTTCGATTCAGTTTTCGTTTCGGTATCGAGATGTGATTCTTTGGCGGGATAACTTGGAGTGTTTGGGGTCTGAAGACAGGCCCTCTGCATACCTGCTCATTTTTGGGGGCCTTTAGATTCGAGTAGTTCATCACGGCGTTTTCGGGCAGCTTCTGGATCTTGTTCCAGTCCAATGCAGGCCCCTCTGAAAGGAAGAAAAGTATTTATTATGTCGTGTTAGCTGGTTACCCTTTGATAGGACATACCTTCCTGGATAAAGCGCCCGAAGAGATCGGCAAAACGTCCCATTTCCGCCTTGAGAGCGGGCTGGCGTGCCTTCTCCGTGGTCTCCAGCAGACGGTCCACATCGTGCTCCAGAAGGCGCAGGGCATCCCGCTTGGTCACCTCGTGGAACTCCTTCGAGTCGGACGGTGCTCGCTGGTGGCCGCGCACCTGTAAAAATCAAATAAAAGCAGTAAGTTACACTTGGAGAAACTTTAGAGCCGCATCGATTAGCGTGGCTAGCAAAGCGCATCGCCAGATGCACTCAAGTGACAAAATTAGTGGAGGAAACGCTGACAAAATTGTTGCTATTGCTGGAGCTGTCGTAAGTCCAATTACAAGCTTGGTCTGCCACTCAGACGAGGGCGTTGCCAAAGACGAAAAGACTCTGGAGTGGCGACAGTTTTTCCCCAAGCCTTGTGATGACTAGTCGCTGGCTGCTATTGAGTTTGCTTCTCTATTTGGGTGGCCAAGAGGCCTCCTCGGGAGTGATAGATAACTTTGGTGATGGCCTGAAAATGGCCGGACAAATGTTTGGCATTAATACCGCCGCGGATGTGGCCAATCTGGTGGCCAAAGCCTTTGCCGGCAATCCTATGACAAACGTACCCAACCTAATGGGTTATGTGCAGAAAACCTTTAAAGCCCCGCAGCAAAACAACGATGAAGAGGAACAGAAGGAGGATCAATCGGAGGAGCAATCGGAACCGGAAAATGCCCAGGAAGAGCCACCGGTGGAGAACAGTACGCGAAGACCTCCTCCAATATCCTTCGACTCCGGGCAACTGTTTACAAACATGCTGAGAATGGTGGGATTTGACACTCGCAAAATTGGAGCTCTAGCTTTGAATGCCTTGATTATGATTGCCCAGGCGGTGAGTCTTCTCAAACTGATACCTTTTTTTTAGAAATAGAATGAATGGTATTTAAACAAATGGTGTTTTTCTTAGATTGGCAGCTCATTAATGCAGGTCACCCGAGGAGGCGGAGGACCATCGCTAGAAGCTTCGGAATCTTTGTTCGAGCCAAGCGATCACCGACCGCGATCTCTGTCCATGGGATCGCCTATCGATTGGTTCCTGCAACGATCTGATCGATACAGTAAACGACTAATCAAGGATATCATGGATCGGGATCTGCCCGAATACATTGTGGACATGATTGAGGCCAAAGAGAAACCAGAGGAGGGCAAACAGGCTGGCTGTTTGAAACTTCTCATGTGCAAGGGCAAGCCCATAATTTGGGGAATGCAGGAATCGCTGAAGAAACGCCTGGCTGGCGAGCCGGAAGAACATGAAGAAGACGATAGCTACTTTAATAAGCGAATTTTCTTTAAGTATTTGCCCAGCCTTGAGGATTTCAGGGTGCACAGTGATGGCTGTGAATCTAAATATCATGAGGAATGCCCTAGGAATGCAACGACTGGCAGCTTCTTTTAAGATAAATACAACATTTTACTACATTTTTACTGGGAGTAGGTCATAAAAATCGGATAGTTTTGAATTTAAAAACTTCTTAAACGAGTTTTGGTTACGTTTTGAATTATTTGATTATTGTTTTAATACCAAAGAAATAATCTACAAAATTATGGCTCTTAATAGTTTTTAAAGATTATTATATATACAATTAACTTGTTTAACATTGATGTTAAAAATGATTATTTTTATTTCTTCAAGCTTATATATAGAAGTAATGCTACACACATTTCAATATATTCAAAAAGGAATTCTACACTTGTCAAAATCTTAATAAAACTCACAAATCCTTTTCACGGATAAATTAACAATACAAAGATATGTATTTTATAGGTTTGTAGCATTAGTTTATTATACCCGTTACTCGTAGAGTAAAAGGGTATATTGTATTCGTGCAAAAGTATGTAACAGCTAGAAGGAAGCGTTTCCGACCCTATAAAGTATATATATTCTTGATCAGGGTCACTAGCAGAGTCGATATAGCCATGTCCGTCTGTCCGTCTGTCTGTCTGTCCGTCTGTCCGTCCGTATGAACGCTGAGATCTCGGAAACTATAAAAGCTAGAAGATTGGCATTTTGCATGCAGATTCTAGGAGTTCCTACGCAGCGCAAGTTTGTTTCAAAAAGGTGCCACGCCACCTTTAACGCCCACAATCGCTTATATACGATTTTAAAAATTTAAATATTTCGGAAAAGTAAAAGTGCAGTTTTATTGTGTTTATCAATAACTATCGAAATGTAGAAGAAATTTTTCAAATCGGACCATTCGTTAAAAAGTTATGCGTGATCAAATTTTCTATCTCCATCTCCCTCGCACTCCCTTTACCTGAGAAACGGGTATCTGATAGTCGGGGCACCCGACTATAGCGTTCTCTCTTGTTTTTAAATTATAACGTATTCAAATTAGTCTAAACCATTTTGCACTAATCACAATCAGTAGACCGAACAAACCCTGACTATTTAACCGTTTAATGACGAATTTGACATTCCGATTAAGTCAAGGATGATTATGGAGATAAGCATTAACCATTTGGGAATGATCTTCCAACCTAATGTCCCATGAAACGACCTCTAAAAATGCAACTGCCTTGGCAAGTTGTGTAATAATTTGCAAAATTGCAATGTTGTTAACTACCGCCTCCATTATCACCCTTGGCTGATAACTAATCTCGGCATTATAAAAACTCACCGTGGCTTTACTATTTCAAGTTCTAATCACTTAATCTGGGCGTTCCTCCAGTCATGAACCAATAATTTCTACGTCACATCAATACCTCAAAATCGTGTCCCGATAATCAAATTTAGATTTGACCATCAGCAAAATACTGGGCATGAATAAATATAGGTTGATAAACTATGCCAACTTTCCTATCAAATTCTGATCTTGGACATTTCGTAACTATGCCTCTGCTTATCGATTATTAGCTTGGTAATAATGATTTGCAATCGTAAAAATGCTATAATGGTTGCGTAAATATTTACCATTTATGTATGGATTTGACATTGCCATTCAGACAAGGTTGCCATGAGCTTTTGCAGATGGCAAACCTAATATGTTAGGGGTAAACAAGGCTTAAACCCAAATAAAAACAATGAGATGGAACAAAGACACAAAGACAGGTGACGAAAAGCGCCATCTACCTTTCGGATTGGCTTCAAGCATTGTCAATCAAGACAGACAATTGCAATTGACTTATGCAAAATAATTGCTGTAATCGCTTTTATTTTGCTGTTTACTTTTCGAAATCATTACGCAAAAGGCGGTATAATGAGCAGAGGGTAGAGTGAAAAACACGTGCCACGCCCACGGCGCCTACAGCGATGCCAGACGATTGCATGTGGGTTATTTATAAAGCAACCGCACTTACCGCCGATGAGCCATTCGAGCCTCAGCGATAAGCCAAAGTCAGAGGGCAGGTGTTTGAACTTCGGCAAGGTCAACATGCTTAAGATAATTTGCTAACGTTTCATTGATGCTTCTTTTGGCGCCGTTTTTTTTGGTAAAAGGCTTATGCAATTCATTATAGATTCATAACTGAGAAATTTCAGAGATCACAGAAGCTGAGATATTTTTTTATATACTGTACTCGTAATGGATAGGGGTATATTGTATTCCTGCTTAAGTATGTAATAGGAAAAGGAAGGAAATGTAAGAGATAGGAGAAGTAACCTAAAGTCAACATACATTCATGCTCTTACTATTTCCATCCTCATGCATTTTAATTTTATTTATGTAGATCGGACAAAATTTACAGCCAGTTATCCCCAAAAAGTATGCAATCCATTGATTATTAAAATTCAAATATTGATCATGCTAGATTACGTTGAAAAAAGTTTTAATTGTTTTGCACTCTAGAGCTCCAGTTAAATCTGGTAATTAAAGTAAATTAAGTAATTTTTGTCTGTGTTTTTTTTTTATTGTCAGATAAGATACGAACTCAGTTCCAAGTAAAGAAGTAAAGAATGATTGGGAGAACACCTCAATTAATGAAATTTGATTCCTAAAGGAAAAAAAAATTCTTTTCATGATAACTGATTAACTTCCGAAATAAATAAGAGATAGTGATTAGCGGACATTAGAATTCTTAAACACCTCTCAAAAGAGATAGAGCAAATCCAAAATTGTTTTGGTTTATATGTACATACGTACGAAGGTCACCAAATCTGATAACATTTCGAATTAAACTTATTACAAGATAAAAATGTATTTTCAGAGGTGTGTTGCGTTATTTTTTGGGTTTTTCTATTGACGACTAATACATATTTTTTATGTCTTTCAGTTTGGTAAACAAAAGACTGCACTACACTTCCTGATTCAGTGGAATTTGTTGGAAGCAATAGTTTTCCAAGCCAAATTTGATATTTTAAGGCCGCAAACATAATGACTTTGTTTGCAGTTTTAAGAAAGATGAACTTGGCCTAAATATCGTATTACAAAGGTTTTCGCGGTAGAATTTAGAGAACTTACACCGGCGCGCTCCAGAAGTACATCGATGGGTCTTATACCGGAGGGCATTGTGAACTATGGAGAACTACTAAAACAATATTTCTCAACGAGAATCGGAATCTTAACTTTTCTAGTGTTTTGTTTGGCACTCGCGGCAAGAACGAGAGAGAAGAACGCAAAGCGGAGAGGCGCAAAACGAAAAACGAAGCTCGCTGGTCGAGTGTGCAATTGAAAATAAAGCTGGGTTCCAAACGAAATTTGAATTTCAATACAAAATTTTTCCAACACGCGGCGACGACGACGTTGACGCCAGCAGCGGCAGAACAGCAATGAAAACGCGGCGACAAGTCAAGTGAAGCCAGCAACAAGTGATAGCAAAATAAAAAAAAAAAAAAAAACTAGAGAGGAAGCTTCCATATTTTGGCAAGCAGAATGGTATATACTCTTGCGGATAAATATATTCTTAGTTAAATAGTTTATATCTACATATATTAATATTTATTGAAAAAGTTCAAGTCATGGTGATTCGCACAGAGAGTCTGTAAATTGAGCAATCTAAGCTATTAAAGCTGTATTATATTAATCTTATAAAACCATAATAGCTCGATTAATTATTAGTAGTATTTTTAAAATAAAACCGAATTTATTTAGATTTGCCTGTTAATTTTCATAAGAAAGTGTTAAAAACTTCCGACTAATATAATCTTATCCCCAGCAAGGGTATTTATAATACAATAACTATTACGGCCAGCGTGTGTGTGTAAGTGTTGAGCACAACAAAAATTAAACATAAGAAACAAGTGAAAACAACAAGCCGGTAGTTGACCGTAGGGGGAGGGGATGGGTAGATAGTGGAGAGAGAGAGAGAGCAGGAAGAAAGAGAGCCCTTGGCCCTTATCAGTAAAATAAAAACAAAAACATTTCGTTCACTGATTCTGCTAATACTATGTACATGTTTAGGGGCATGTTCCAGTGATAAGAGCCCATCAGATATATTCCATGATTATTCCAACTGACAACAAATACTAAGCTTATTTTTGGCTTCCCAAAATGAAACACACACACACTTATGAACACATCGCAATGAAGGCGACACATGCCCGTACTTGGAGGTCAAATGAAGGTTAGCGCTAAGCAAATGCAATACATCAAGCAGCGAGAAAAGGCAAAAACCAGTCAAGAGGGCAATTATAACTAAGGAAATTGGCCCATAAATAGAGCCCAACTGGAACCGGCAAAATGTGTTGCATACAATACACTGGAAAGTGCAAGATGCACGCACACAAAAGCAGCCAGAGAGGCTTGGAATGAGAGACCGGAAGTTTTCTTTTTACACCAACTTTAAACTGTACACTAAAAAACTCACCTTGGCTTCGTGTGGAACATCCAACATATTTAAAGGTTTTTAATTAATTTGTAACTTTTAACTTGAGTAACTCAGCAATTAAGCGTCACTAATTCTGAGACACACACACACAGATAGAAACCACTCTGAACCCGCAGTTAAATGTGATCAAATGACTTTTCCTAAGTTGGTTTCGCGCTGTCCCAAGTCAATGATACCAACAACAAGAACGGACGATACGATATTAATTTATTGAACCAATTTTGAAAGATCTCAGCGTTCTTATCTGCTTCCTCTTCTTCGCCACTCAAAACAGCTGTTGTGTTGCGCCTAACAGCTCATGAATTTAACATAACAGCACACTGTTGACCAATCAGCTGCGACAGAAAAACAAAGGGTGAAAGAAAGACCGAAAAGCAACGCAAAACTCCTTAAGAAGCCCTACTTATCCTGGAAAACCAAGAAAAAAACCCAAAACAGAGGTTTTATTTGTACGGAAAAATTGTTCTTAATAATATATAAACACAATGGGAGCCTGTTTTTCCTGCTGCGGCGAAAGTGCCGAAGAAACCAACTTAATGCCATCGCCTGTAAGTTTGGGTATCTTTTAAAAAACCTCTGAAACAACAAAAAAAACTTCGCATGAACCCATATAACTTTTTTCAGGAGGAACGCCGCCAGCAACAGTTGGATGCGGCTGAAAAACGTCGCCAAGAAAATGAAAGTCGGGGCATTAAAAATCCGGAGAGCGTAAGGCGCCAGCAGCAAAAAGCGGAGGAACTTCAGCGTCGGGAAGAGGAGGCCGCCCGCCAAGGACAAGGACAATCCAACCTAAGGGTGATTCATAAAAAAATCCTATTTTAATAGTTTCCATACTCACTAATCCTATGTTTTCAGTGGCAAACGAGCTAAAAGGAGGCGATCCCCATCCTAGTATTGCTTATGAAGCATATCTACCTATTTCTCCCTTGTTAACTGTCCAGGCCTCTTTGTACTGCTCCGTATTTGTACTGTCTATATACACCCAGTATTCCGATCTTTATATCCACCATCGTCGAGAACTTTTAGCTGGCGACCAAAATGTAAAACCAAAAACAAAATGAAAACCAAATTTGTTATCAGTGATTAGTAAATTCTAAAGAAAACTTCTTACACGAAATAGTTTGACTGAATCCCGAGAATTATTTATATTCCTAAATGGTTAAAGTTCTTTTTGTCATTCCTGTTTTAAAAACATTACTATTATGTCGTACGTAGCACATAAATCTGAAAATAAACTTGTTTTACATATCAAAATTATACGATTTTCTGAATATATTAATTTTAAAATTGGAAGAATTCCATCAAAACCATCATTTCATTAAAACTATCCGATATATTAAAGTTGCAAAAAATTCACTGCTTTGGAAAATTTTGAAAATTTACTATCGAGGTGAATCTTGTCTATATTTATATGTTTCTCGTCATTTTTGCTTTAAATGTCGAAAGTTACGAAAGGAAATTAAATCCTATCTTATTTAATTTGTCGAAATGGCAGTATTATGGAAGTACAATGTTAACGTTATTCGAAAGTAAGTCAAAGCAGACAATACGAATAAGAATCCTTTTTTTGTTAGTTACTTTTAAAGTTGGGATTTTTGTATTGTTTTACAAAATTTAATATAATAATTTTCAAAATTATTTTTTTACGATTTGCATTATTAGTTTTTGAATAAGTTATTTTTATCCCTGACCGATCCAGATCAATTTTCTGTGTAGTTCGATAGTTGTAACCGATATTTCTCCACATCTTGTGGGTGCTTTTTGGCCACCTGGTAACACTGCACCATGGGGGTGGTGATAAAAGGGGGCATTGTAATGGATATGATTGCATTCCAAGGCCGGGCAATGAGGACTAGTTAATCGAATAGACATCCAATCTCTTATAATTTGTTTACACGTAAAAAACAGTCCACTCACTGTTTACTCCCGCAATCGCGAGAGGCAGCCCACTCATCGGTTATCAGTTATCAGCTGGGGAAGCTATGAATTCCCGCTCCCTCGCTGATAACACGGTTAAGATTATCTCTGTGTGCGTTTGTGACTTGTAGAACCGGTGGTAGCTCCATTCGCTCATTGATCGACGGTCACTCGACGCGAAAAGTTCCACGGAAAAGCGTAGAAAAAATGGCAGAGGCATCTACTCCGGGAATCAAGCGGGTTTTATCCATCCAGAGCCATGTGGTCCATGGCTATGTGGGAAACAAAGTGGCCACCTATCCCCTGCAGGTCTGCTATCTAAACCTCTATCTCCCGAGAATTTTCACTCACTTTCGCCAGTTACTTTCTATAACTAGTTGCTGGGCTTCGATGTGGACCCGCTGAACTCGGTGCAGTTTTCCAATCATACAGGCTATAAGACCTTCAAGGGTCCCGTCTCCAACGAGAAGGAATTGGGTAAGATCAGTTGTTGTCAGTGTATATGTACATAAATACTTTGAACTTAAAGTTCCTGATTAAGCAATAGATTAGAATGCTTTCGCTCTTATTTAACTCTAAAACTCTATCTTTAAAAACTTCAACCTAAGAGATATATCATAATGTCTTTAATCCTAATGAACAGAGAGTTATAAATCTTTAATCATTACTAACCTTGATCCCTTGCAGCCACTATTTTCGAGGGTTTGGAGGAGAACGAACTGTTGCCGCTGTACTCGCACCTGTTGACCGGATACATCGGAAATCCCCTGTTCCTGCGACAGGTGGGTCACATTGTCAAGAAGCTGCGACAGGCGAATCCCGGTCTGGTGTACGTCTGTGATCCTGTCATGGGCGACAACGGGCAGCTTTATGTGCCCAAGGAACTGCTTCCCGTGTATCGGGACGAGATTATTCCCCTGGCGGACATCCTCACCCCGAATCAGTACGAAGTAGAGCTGCTCACGGAGAAGGAGGTTCGCAGCGAAGAGGCCGTTTGGGAGGCAATGGATTGGTTCCACAAGCGCGGCATCAAGACGGTGGTCATCTCCAGCAGTGATCTTGGACAGCCCGGCATTCTCCGGGCCTTCCTAAGCCAGGTGAATGGACCCCGCCTGGCCATCGATATTCCGAAGCAGGGCGGCAAGGATCTGGTCTTTACCGGCACCGGGGATCTCTTCGCCTCCCTTTTCCTAGCCCACAGCCATGGCAGCAAGGATATAGCCAATGTCTTTGAGAAAACCATCGCCAGTCTGCAGGCGGTGATCAAGCGCACGGTGGCTGCTTTGCCAAATGAAGGAAATGGTCCCGTAAAAGCAGCCGAGCGGGAACTAAAGTTGGTGCAGTCTAAAGTGGAGATTGAAAAACCCCAGGTGCTGCTTAAGGCGCAGCGACTAAACTAAATCGGAAGAGAAACAAATCAGATGAACGATTACCTTTAATATATGTGCTCATTGTACTTGTTCACGGACAATAACCTTTTGATACCTTAAGATCAGCATTTGTATGCATTGTTATAACAATATATTATCATTTTAAACATATAGAGTGACAAGTTAAGTACCATAAATAATTGATAAACCGCAGAGATCAAATATATACCTATGCTCATGATGCGGACAAGCTTTGATCCCTTAAGTTACACTTTTATAAGCATTATTATACCTATTAACTATACAAAAATAAATATATATATGACCATTGTAAACTAAGAGACAGGCTGATGACATATCAAAAGACTCAAACGATACGGTTCTTGCCCTTGGCGACCAACAGGTGGCTATATAAGATTGCAGTCAGCCGGCGAGAAAAACAAACCGAATATAGCAAACAGAAGATATGTGGCTGCCGCTTATCTTTATAGCCTGTCTAGCCGGCGTGAGTGGATCAGTGGGGGGTGAGGGAAAGCTGCCAGTGGAGCAGGCTTTTGTGCCCCGCTACACTCCGGTGGCTGAGAGTAAGCGACAGGATCTGGAGTTACCCGCTAAAGGAAGTCTTGAGCTGCAGCAGAGACCTTCCGCAGGCGATAAGAAACCCTGGCGACGAGTGGAGTACGGTTACGATGGCGTTTCTACGGCTTCCTGGGCTGCTCCCTCGCCTCCGGCAGCCATTCTTTCCATCCTGAATCCCCTGCTGGCACCAGGACTGCTCCTTCTGGGTGTAAACTTAGGAGCCCTGCTCTATATGCTGCTGGGCCTCCTGGGACTAGCTCCCCATCGAAGCGGCAGCTCTAGCCGGGTGGCCTCGCATCCGGATGCCAACCCCCAATTCTGGCCTGACGATCAGACCTTCTACCGCCGAGACAGACACAATCTGGGTGAGGGCAAGGAAACGGCCGTATATTTTTAGATATAGCGCGTAACGCAAAGCTTTCTTTCAACTTATCAAAACGTATATAAAAAACGTACATAAATAAATTCAAGGGTTAAGTAATGGGTCAAAAGAACTGAAAGCGAACGGGCGTAAGGTTGGGAAGGTTAGTGTACTATCTATATCTATGGTTATAGCTATGGTTAACTTAAACATCGATATGTCTCGGTCCTCCCAGAAGGAATGGTAAATCAAAGGAAACGCAAGTTGAAACTAACTAAACGAATGAGTACCCCTACTTCTTTAGGCGAAACGAGGCTGCCCGATTGAATTTGACCAAAGGCGGCTCCTTACTCGACGATCCAAGTGGTTTTCGCGTCAGTGTAGAGGTGCCAGAAAGTGCTGCAAGAGAAAGACGAAATTATTATCATGCATAAGGTCAATAAAGTATGTTTAACTCACCTTTGGCCATCAGCGCTCGAGGACTCTTGCGCACATAGTTGGAGTTGTATTTGACGTTCTCCTTGGCTAATGAAGCCGCTGCCAGCGTTCTCTTAAGGCCTTGGGCAGTAAAATGATTCGACTTGAGCAGAGCTGCAATAAAAAACATAGTTTAGCGGTTGAAATTATAATTCAAATTAACTTATACTACTCTCAAATGTCCAGTCCATTTGCATTCTTATTTAAAATCAATTTAAAAGTTTAAAAGAATTACAAAATAAATATAAATAAATATTTAATAAGATTGTAGATTGGTGATCAACAAATCATTTTTGGTAATTTTGCTCTTTCAAAAAGAAAATTAGTTCTTCAAATAAGTATTTGAGAAAAATATATTTAAATTTATGATTTAAATTTATGAATTTAAGATGTGTATAGATAATAAGAAGCATTTGTAAATCAGTATTACTCAAAAAACCCTTCGGAAAATAAGAAATGTTCCCGATATGCTTTACAAATACTTTTTTATACACTTAAACAGCAAAACCCTACCCTTCTGGATCTTCTCGTTGCTGCCGCGCACGTTCTGTTCGGATAGCAGATCGCTGACCATGCGCTGATGGACCATTCTCGGCTTGGTGACCGTCGCTGTGAGAGGTTTCCTGGCACTACTGCTAGAGGGCCCAAGGACCTGCGTCTCGTTAAGGTTGCGCGGCCTCTTAAAGGTCATGTGAAGTTCCTCGGATTCCGATTCTGTGTCCTGGCTGTCGAATTCCTCCATGCTTAAATGCAGATCGTCGTCGCTCTGTGCGGCCTGCCTCTGTCGCTTTTTGGCACTGGCCGTAAGGCTGCAGGATGGCTCTTCCTCTTCTTGGGCACTGCGCAGCGCTTCAGGCACCACCAGCACATCCATCTCGGCCATTTTGGTGTTGGCCTCGGAGTCGGCAAACCGCATCTTCCGCAGCAACCGTTCGAACACCGCCTCAATCTCCGGCGTTAGCTTTTGTCCATCCTCCAAGCGGTCGTACGTCTGGTTAAGCACCTCGCAGGCTGCTCGGAAGGACTTCCGCATCAGGTCTAAGTTCTCCACCAGTTCCTGGTTAATGGCGTTCACATGGCTGTTGAAGATATTCTGCTTGGTCAACTGTAGCTCGAGATCCTTGTATTTTACGTATACGATGAGGATCTGGTAAGCCTTCGACTTGTTCACCTCACGCTTTAAGCTCTCTAGATTCTGGTACGCACTCTCCATTTTACTCAGCCAGGTGGGTAGCTCCTCCTTGTACTTCTCCATCTGGCTGGTTAGAGTGGTCATGTAATTAGCAAAGCGCCGATAGTCCTGGGAAATATATGCGAGGTATTAAAAAAAGTTTAAAAATAATTATCTTTATCATACTTTATGTACTATAAAATTTGACAGACAAACATTAATTAGGTATGGTTTAAATTAAACAACAACTATATACATACAACTAAATTATATTTAATTTAAGATCGCTTTATTTTCTATTTAAAAAAAATCGTTTTATTGTGCAAGGGCACATCATTTTTCCATTTCATTGATCACCTACATTAATTAAGTTACAAATTAAACTGTCTAAAACTACAAAATACTTTCTACAGAGTAAAAACCGTCAGAAAAATAAGACAGTTAAGTATAAATTAAAGTTAAGCCAAATGAAACACAAATATATTTTATATAGTCCAAAATAACTATTTTGATTAATTATTTTGAGATCAAATGTGCTACTTGATTATTTTCAAAATACCCCGCCAACGTTAACCTTACGTTACGTAGGAAACTCTTACGTTTTGAGCATTGTTACGAATCTGAAAAAACAGCTGATGCAGACCAATCAAAAATCACTGCCGCATTTAATCTAAACAAAATAGCTTAAATTTAAATAAAATGCTGCGAAATGCGGTGCATTTAGCTACCCTAGGGGTGCGCCAGACAAAAGTGACGAACACTTTGCCAAGATTACCACTAATCCTGAAAAGTAATCCACAAGACGCGACAAATCTGCAAGTGGCGCGCGATTATGCAAAGGGCAAGGACAAAAAGAAGGAAAAAGGCGGCAAGGGAAAACCCGGCAAAGTGGAAATCAACGAGCAACAACTGCGCGAGATTCTCAACCTGGATGGCCTGAACAGCCAGATGCAGAAGTCCGTGATGCAGATGAAGGACGACTTTGTGAAGCACCTGTCGCTGCGTTCCACCAGCGGTTCCATTGATACACTGCGCATAAAAGTCGATGGCCAGGAGCACGAGCTGCAGGAACTAGCCCAGATCTCTCGGAAAAATCCCAAGACGATTATAGTAAACATGATTGGCTTTCCGCAAACGATTCCCGATGTCCTAAAGGCCATAGAAAAGAGCGGCATGAACCTGAATCCGCAGCAGGATGGCACCACTTTGTTCATACCCATCCCGAAGGTCACCAAGGAGCACAGAGAAAATCTGTCCAAAAATGCCAAGGCTTTGTTTGTCAAATACCGCGATGCCATTCGTGGCGTCCAGAACGAGCACATCCGCAAGCTGAAGAAGCAACCGGAACTGGGCAAGGACGACGCCTTTGCTGCCCAGGCTCAGGTCACCGCCATCGCTGATCGCTTCATCTCGGAGGCGGACAAGATGCTTGAAAGCAAGCAGAAGGAACTGCTGGGCGAATAGAACCAAGACCAAGACTGATCCCGCTCCAAAAGCCTTAATAAATCTAAATACATTATTGTTAAACAGAAATTCTATTATGAATTTGAGAAACCGATCTTTTTCCCCGAACTAAAAACTAAACTTTTATGTACACAGTTTCCAAGTTTTCTTGAACTGATTATTATAAAGTAAAGTAATTAATTTTCTCTAATCTTTAAAATGTTTTTTGTAGCATTTTAAACGTCGCTCAATGATCTTGAAAATTAAAGGAAAATAGTAGCTAGTTCTTCAAAAATTATAAAAAAGCTGTTTCTTAAGCCTAACTCAAATTTATAAATGTGAAAACGTTAACTTACCTCCTGACAAATCCGCTGGTCCACGCACATCAGTTTCCTGAACTCCTCCAATTCTTTTTTCAGAGTCTGCCTGTAGTTGATGTTCTTGATCTTACTGCGCATACCGAGGACGTGCTCCTGAAGCTGTCTGGCCGCCGAATATACAGCGTCTATCTTGCTGTACCACGACTTGAGCTCCTGCGGATCGAAGCCATTGCTGCCGGCGCGCTCCAGTTGGGTGGCCTTGGCCTCCAGCGCCTTGTTCCGCTCCTTGAGTCGCTCGTTTTCGGCCACCACCTCGTCGATCTTCTTTACATAGAACTCGGTGGGCATCTTAGACTTCAGGACGTTCTGCTTCAGCGTGGTGCGGATCTTCTTTGCCCGACTGGCGTACTTTAGGGTGTTATAGGTGTCCTCGTAGGTCAGCGAACTCATTGAGACATTGGCCACCATCAGCGTTCGGCAATTTCCGCCCAGCGAGTCCTTCAGAATGCGTGTCAGGTTCGAGTCGCGGTAGGGAATGTGCTTCAGGCCATCGGCTAGCTTATTGATGCAGTTTCCCAGCGCCAGGAGACTTTTATTGATGCTGGCGCCCTCCTTGAATCGGACTCCAATGCCCTTGGTGCTTGCCGCCCTCTCACTGCCCGCCAGATCGATCATGGACAGTTTTACTGTCCTTTTGGTGTCCGTTTTGCGCTCTGTGATCCGGATGTGCACCTGGAAGATTGCATGTGACCGGGAACTCTCTGCATTCGCATCTGTAGGGTGCTGTGTGCGATGAGAGTTGCCTAACATCAGCATCTTTAGCAGCTCCTCGGCACTGTAGATGGGGGTCAGGCAAAGACCACTGACCACCACACCATTGCTGTCCTCGCGAAGCTTTAAAGGACCCGATTTGGTCAGGAGATTCATCACATGTTCGTTGTAGACCTCAAGATAGGAGACTCCCACATCGAACTTGCGCACATCGCTCTGGGACTGGATCTTATCAAATAGATCTCGCATGGTGAGGAAGGTCAGACCCGGATGAGCTTGGCTGCCCAGCATGGTAAAGGTTTTCCCAGCACCAGTGGCTCCGTAAACAAAAACTGAGCAATTGTATCTAAGGTGGGTACGGGAAATCAAAAATTAATGTCAGTTTAGAAAGGTATTTATAGGGTATTACTAACCCATTTAGCACTGCGTCGACCAGCGGCGCCGTGCACTCCTCGAACAAATCCTGGTTGGAGTTGTCTATATCGAAGACCCTATCAAACTCCATGGTCAGCTTTTTGTTCATCCGCTTGGTGATGTCGCGATACGGCTGTTTGGCGCCCTGGAAGAAGAACTCGTCGTCCTCCTCGTCGGGATCGAAAAGTATCGCCGATCGATCCATCACCTTAATAATACTCCGCTGTTTTTGCTCCAATTCCCGGACATTATACGGCCGTACACGCACCACCACTTTAATATTCGTATGCTGCTCCGAAGGCATTTTTTATTTAATGCTCTCTGCCCTTTTAGATTTCCCAGCTTTTCTCGGCTTTCGTCCTTTTTTTCCAGTTTCGATCTCCTCGCACATATAATTTTCTCGTACAGCCTGAAGTGATCGTTGTTGTTTGAATCGGGACTATCGGCGCTTGCGCTTTGGGGGCATCTTTATCCAATTTGCTTTGCGCGCTTGTTCTCGATTTTGAACTGTATTTCCAGGGTAGCTTTGGCGATGATCGATAGTTCTGGCAGGGCTGCAACATTAGATTGAAATAAACATTTTATGTATTGTTAACTGTTTAAAATTTACAGGGAATATTCTACGACTAAACTATATAAATAACCCAAATTGCATAATAGTTCCGTTTCATAAAAAAAATTATCTATATTTGAATACCATGTATTTTTGTATCAATCCACAAAAAATGCAAGACAAATTTATTTGTGAACCAAATTATTATAATTATAAAGTTGTAAGATAAGTTAAGTTATTTTCTTTATTTAATAATAGGCAGAACACAATACATTGACGACATTAAAAGTGGACGTTGAATAGAAAATGTTAAATTCTATACAAGTTGAAATTTATATCCATTAAAATGCAACACAAGTATCGATAACTATGCACTCAAATCAATATCGATGTGCTGCTTATCGCTTTAACCATCGCCTCCCCTACCATCGCTAGCAAAAAGAACCATTTTATTTAAAGGAGCAGAAACAACAAGTTTTTTTAAGATCCAGCACAAAATAGAAAAAGCCAGAATTGAAATCATAGCCGCCGAACGCCAAACAGAATGAGTGCAAAAGTATTATTCGCCTGCTCCAAGTGTTTTTCGCGCCATCCGTACGAGGAACTTTCCTCCGGCCAACAACTATGCAAGGTTCGCATTTCACTCAAAAAAAAACTTAAAACAATATGCAAAATTCCAAGCCGTGCCGACGCCAAACGAAATGCAATGTCAGCATTCAGTGTGTGTTTTTGTTTGTTTGTTTGCCAGCGAGAAAAATGACGCGGCGTTGGCCAAAAATTTTGCTGCGCAAAACCAGAGAAAATGCAAACGGCAAGAAGAAGCAGCCAGGCGTCGCGTCTAAAAATGAGTTAAACAACAAACAAAACAGATAAACACATATAACGACAGTAATAATAATAAACCAACGGATAACCTTGATTTTTGCAGGGCTGCCGCGGTTCTACCTCAGTTGGTAAATGTACTTACTGCCGCTCGGAGTTTCAACCCGCCACGTAAGTACGATAATGTGGAGGCTATAGCTTATACCCACCTTATACCATATATACATAAATATATTCCGCAGCAAATCACAGAGTGCCTGCAAGAAGTGCGAACATTATCTGGGGAAGTACGGAAAGCCCAGTGCCTGCGAGTGCTGCAAGATTGTGGCTGCCTTCGGGGGCTCCAAATGCATGCGGTGAGTTGTGCCGGCATCGGCAGATCATATTCTATATAATCCGTAAGCTAGTAGTCTTTTCCGCTGAATCACAACGGCCGTGTAACTTGAATGCACAATGCAAGAGCTTCGAAATTTGATTACTCTTTAATGGAAAAACCATAAGCAGCTATCCCAAACCCAAATTGTGCCTTCAAAGTACATGACTTTGCAGATACTTCTTCACGATCTCTATCCTTGGAAGATCATGCAATACAACCGTCTCTTATGAACGCAAAACATTTCTCTTCTTCTCTTTTCTGCCTGCCAAACAAAAACAAACCATAACCCAATCCGCATTGAAATATAGATGCGCCAGCTACGAGGCAAAGTATGGACCGCCGGTGCAATGCGATGAATGCAAGCTGCGATCAGCCTTTGACAGGCGCGACGAGAACAAAAAGGTCAGCTCACAGCTCAGAGAAAAACTAACTGGAGGATTTCTCACCGCGGAAGCAGCCCTTAATATTAAAACCCTAAACTTAAGCCTAACGAATGTAGAAACTTGAGCGGGGTGAACTGTACCCGAGAGTCATGTACTTGCGTTCATAAGAGACCGTGTTTAGTCTAAGATTGTACTACCTAAGCCCTTACTGTGAACGCTGGTAAAATTTCGATTTACCTTTTGTCGCCGGCAGGTCAATGGCAAACTCCTTTGCTGGCTGTGTACCTGCGCCTACAAGCGAGCACTGCTTAAGGCCCAGCAGGAGGGCCGAATACCCATGTCGAAGAAAAGGCCACATGAGAAGACCTCGTCCTCGCACAGAGACAGTGCCGCGGCCAAGAAGCCTTCGCGCAGCGAGTTGGGCAAGAGCGGTAGCGGTGCCAATAGCTCCGGCGTAAACGCTGTCAGCGGAGCCGGACTGGATCTACCAGACAAGATATCGCGAGGAAATGGGGGGAACGGGACCATCGCAGCACCCGCTGCAATTACCGTGGACACCAATTCGTCTGATCATGTGGTGGCCATCACATACTTAAAGGAGCGCATTGCCAGCCTGGAGAAGCGCTTAAATCAAAAAGACAAAGAACTGCTCGAGAAGGATAAGCAGGTGGGTTTAGCAAAATAAGGGTGTGAGCAAAAGGTTTCATCAAATTTGCGGAAGTAACTTTTCACCCTACAATCTTTGTACCTACAAAGTTGATCTGCATCTGTCAGTCTGGGAAATACCATCTGTCATAATTTATTTTCGGAAACCAGTCTGCTAATTCTCTATTATTAATTATAAATATGTGATGCTTCAGATCTTGTGATTTTAATATTTTGTAGCAGTATAGTTTTCTTAACTTACTGATTTTGTACACTTCGAATAAGAATTTTAAACAATTATTAAACTTTGAATACCTTATAAATCTCTCCAACAGCTAACCGAACTGAAGGGCAAGAACTTCGAGAAGGAGAACGACATGCGCAACCGACTGAAGGAGGTGGAGAGAATACACGACATGAAGGTGGATAACTTGAACCGCAAGATTGCCAGTGTGCTTAAGGAATTGGCCGTGCTTAAGAAGAGCAGCAACAAAAAGACCGCTGCCCTAAGCAAGGCTGAGAAGGAAGCCATCAAGCGGGAGAATCTCTCACCCAAGGAGGAGATTCTGGCGGCGGCGGTGCCGGAGAAACAGATCAAGGCTTCGTCGGAGCCGGCCGATCTTGACAAAGACGAGAAGAGTCGTGATCGCGACGAGGAGCGCAGCGAGCAGGAGGATCGGGCCAGTGTGCGTTCGCGTTCCGGCTCCAGCAGCCCCACGCCTTCGTCCAACTGAAAGGCACTCACTTCCAGCTGCAGGAGCGGCAGGCCAGGATTCAGGATCTACAGAGTCTGGATGCCGCACCTTTTTAGTTTTTCGCTATACAAATTTATATTTTTGTACTTCTGCTTTAATTGTAATATAGTTTTACAAGATTGTTTCATATCACCCTTTTTTATGACGATCATCCCTGCCGCCCAAGCCCTGTCCTTTCCTCCCTTCAAAATGTATCCCAATCATCAGTTAGAAAATGTAATTTGATAGGCTCAACTTAACGAATTCTTCTTTAGTTTAATTCACGATGGAACAACACAAAACCGAAGCATTGTTTACATCTTAAGAAATATACAAGTTGGGAAAGAACCAAGAGCGGTATTTCAACAGTCGTTATAAATAATTATATGTGATAACAATAATGTTAGTGCGGCTTGGGCTTATGCCCATCGACGTAGAAATTCCTGGTGGCTTTGGGCAGCTCCAGTTCCATGCCCTCCATGCTCTTGGCCAGGAGTATCTGGCAACCGAGGCGGGAGTTTTCGCGTAGGAATGGCGCCATGTCCAGCAGGTCGTCCTCCTTTTCCTCGGCCTCACTTAGCTTCTCGAGGAAATCGTGGTTGACGTACACGTGGCAGGTGGTGCAGGCCAGCGAGGCCTCACAGGCACCCTCCATTTCGATCCCATGGCGATGGGCCAAGTATAAAACATTGTCGCCCACTTTGCCCTGGACCTTGGTGCGTTTTCCATCCTTATCCACATATGTGATGTTTACGCTGGGTTTGAAGAGGATTCTCTGGTTATTCGGTGTATACTTAAAAGCCCTTCAAATACTCACATTTCTTCCGGGGACTTGGGATCCTGCCATTCGAACTCGCCATGCCGCCGCGCTGTAAAGTTATCCGGATTTCATAATCTCAGTGTGAGTTTTCATATCAAAACATCAATGGTTCTACGGGCTTATACGGTCTACTTACGTATTGTGGTGTGAAGAGCATTTCTGGGTGTGTAGAACGCGGGCTTGGCAATCTGTTTACTAATTAATTTGCAGGAATTATGAAGTGCGGATCGCCGCAAAAGTAAACAAAACATTTTTGAGGTTACAGTGTCAGCCGGAGATGGCCGATTTGCGATATGTCACGGGTTCTATCAAGCAGATTATAATCATAAATTAAATAATTATGTTTATCAATTAGTATCTTTATTTAAAAAAAAAACCTTAAATATCAATTGTGCTTTGTTTTATTAGTTTCTTCTTAGCCAATACTTTTTATTGAAGATGTTGTATTGGAAAATCTGGAATAATCGTTTTTTGGGAACTGTGACTAAAAGCAATCGAACAATCGATTTCTAAGCTTTGGCGGGCTTTCATTTAAAATTCAAGAAGTTTATTTGAATACATCAGGGAAAAGTCAAGCTAAAGCTTTTTTAAGTAGGATTGACATCTGGGAACCTTATTTAAATATGCACAGCTTTTAATGCGCGCATAATTGAACAAAGGAAGTTACAATATTGTACATAGAATTTGAAATTCAAAGATACAAAAATTGTGTGCCAGATATCTTCATCTTATCACTCTGTAAAATATATAAATATTAAAGACGTTAAATAACTGAGACATTCATATTCCTTTATTAATACTTGATTTCGATTAGTCTTAAAATTGGATTGGACTTTTAAAATGTAGCTAATATTAAATAAATTAATAAATATAGTACGATGCGTGCGCAATTTTCGTGACTTTTTTAGTGCAACGATGAACGAGAGTCTTGGGAAATCACTTGGCTGCTAATGCTGCTTTCTTTAGGGGATCTTTACTTGGTTTCTGGAACTGGAGCGGATGCTGGAGCAGTGGGCTCCTTGTGGCCATTTCCGTTCTGGAAGAGATCCGATGGACCCACATGCTTGATGGGTATAACCCGCTCCTTGAGCTCCTCCTTGGCAATTAATGGAGGAACTGTTATGTTAAGAACTCCATCCTCCGACAAGCTGGATGCAATGGCATCCGAATCGTACTCCTTGGGCAGTGGATAACGACGAACAAAATGTCGCGAGACGTGACCATGATCGTCCTCGCGCTCCTCGTGTTTTCCCTCGACAACGATGCAGTCATTGACCAGTTTGACGGTCAGTTCACCCGGTTGAAAGAGTCCCACATCCAGGTGTACCTCGAAGTTCCCCTTTTTGTCACGGGCACCACTTCCACCCAAAGCAGCCAGGTCCCCGATCCTTTTATTGGCCACCAGGTGATGAGCATGTGCACCCATTCGGGCAATTAAGCCCAGGGTGTGCAAATCCAGATCATGGTGTTGCCGGGAATGCAATCGCCTATACATACGATTCGGGAACATATCGTGCCCATAGTACATGGAGTCCGGCGAGTCCAAATTCAAGACAAATGGAATATCTGGCATTTTTCCTTGCTACTTCTCTGTGTATCTGGCGGAAGTTCGATGAACCGACGACCTGTTTTCCTTCCAAAAAGTGTCCAAGGGTTGATTTGCCAGCGGGGGTAGAATTCACTATGTCAGCTGCAAATTTGCGCACAATTTACCTTGACTTTTCCGACTCAAATGTGGAGTTTTACGGGTTCGCTGCACCCTTTTATAGGAGCTGGAAAAGCTTTCCCCACACCACCGAGCTTTTCTGGAGCAGCAACTGGATGTTTCGGTGATGTGATTCTGGGGAGACATCTGGGAACCTTCTGGTGGCCAAGCTTTCGGATGTACCGCTGGCCAAACCGCAGACAGCATTCGAATTTGATCTGCTATCACGTATGCGCTAGTACAGTGGAACCTCTGTGACTTAAGCCACCACGCAACATAGCTAAAGTCAATGTGTGATCTAATTTATTTTATTCTTTTATTTTTTTATAGTTAAATGATATCTTAATATCGTAATAATTTAAAGGACTATATTTACAAAAAATAATTCATTAAATAAATAATTCAAATTAATAAAATTTTTTTACTTCCTCTTTTGATTTACAAAAAAAATTGTTTATTTTATATATTTCGATTAATGGAAGTCCAACTGTAGAGCAGATATAGATAGCAAGCTTTGTCTAGGTGACTATGACTATCCCAACCGATTTTAATTTGAAATTCAAAGTGAAATCGGATCGAGAGACCCGACCGGCGGCGAATTCAGCGGACAATTAGCAGCATCTCCAACGCCGGCGCCAAGAAAACTAACTAGACAAACAAGGCAACACCACAATAATCAGACTGCGATAAGCCGACGTGGGCAAATACGCGAATCTCGAGCCACATAAATGGATCTTCTGGGACCGGCTGGCAAGTCAGTTGTTATTCAGCTGGCGAACCGGGTGAAATTCGTGCTGCGTCCCATAACCACAATGGCCACCTACGAGCAGGTTAAGGATGTGCCCAACCATCCGGAAGTCTATTTGATCGACGTCCGGCGGAAGGAGGAACTTGAGCAGACGGGCTGCATTCCAGCCAGTATCAATATACCCTGTAATCCATAATAATTCTCATTATTACCTTTGCAAATATCATAAATATTTCATATCTGTTTCAGTGGATGAACTGGACAAAGCCCTGAATCTGGATGCTGCTGCTTTTAAGAACAAATATGCCCGTTCAAAGCCAGAAAAGGACTCTAAGATCATATTCTCCTGCCGGTCGGGAAATCGTGTTTTGGAAGCTGAGAAAATAGCCAAAGGCCTGGGCTTCTGCAAGTGGGTTTGCAAATAATATAATAGTTGCAAATGATTTGAGTATTGATTTCTTTTTAGCGTGGTAATCTACAAGGGATCGTGGAATGAGTGGGCCCAAAAGGAGGGACTCTAAGCCGAACCGACTCCACAACAATTTGGATTTTAAATTATTGCGTAAATATGTTATAATAGCACTTGGGAAATAGGTTTTGGAATAAAGGCAAAAAACTAAATTTATACTGGTCTATTAAGACGAAATATTTTAAATCGAAACTGGGAACAACTATGCAGTAATTAAGTATAGCCTAAAAAACAACCCTATTAATCTTTAAAAACTCTTTTAATAGGCGCTATCGTCAATTTATTATTATTTATCCAATCTTTAAAATTTTCTTACCACTTAAAAACTGACAAAACTAATAAAGATGTTTTATACAAATTCTTGTGTTCCTAAATTAATTAATTATTTTTAATTTCTTACTACGCCCATGGTCGAGCTTTGATAACGCAGGCAAACAAACAAACCAGACACTCTCCCAAAATCTATCGCTCTCTCTTGGAGCTCTGTCTCTTTCTTTCTCCCACCATTAAAAACTGACCTGCCCCAAGGCGCCACCGAGAGAGAACTTTGGTGGGTGATAAAATACATGGTAAATAGAGTAAACACTGATTACTGAGAGAGTACCCGAAACTTCTACCAAGTTCTCTAAAGGCCTTACAACCACCCCTCTTTAAATGCCATTGCCCGATTTCAGGCAAAGCGGAAAATTGCATCAGCAAAGGGCAAAGAAAATTCGAGAGAATGCCGGTGGTTTCTATATTATATAGATTTCATCCTAGCCACGAGTATAAATAGCAGCCGGTGGAGCACAGCTCTCTCAGTTCAAAAAAACCAAATCAACAGTTAGCACCTCGCCAAAATTAAGCAAACTTAAATTTCACAAGCTAAAAAAGAAATTACAAAGTTAAAAATATAAAATAAAAAAATATACAGAAGAAAAAAAATAAAAAAATATTTAGAAAATTGAAAACATAAAAATACAGATACAAAAAATTAAAAAAAAATACCTTTAAAAAAAATAACACAATATTTGAAAACATTAAAAGGGAATTTAATCAGATAAACAAAAAGTAGGGAGTAAAATTAAAACAAAAAAAAAATAACTACGAAAACCTTTAAAATTGCAATTAAATAAATTAGTAAGACTTAGTTACCTATATAAAAAAAAACCCACTATGCGTTCCCTACCAATGCTTTGGCGTATGGCCGAGGATATGTCCCGGATGCCACGCCTTGCCTCGCCCTTTCACGCCTTCTTCCACGAGCCGCCCGTTTGGAGTGTGGCGCTTCCGAGGAACTGGCAGCAAATTGCCCGCTGGCAGGAGCAGCAGTTCGCCCCACCGGCCACCATTAACAAGGATGGCTACAAACTCACCCTGGACGTCAAGGACTATAGCGAGCTGAAGGTGAAGGTGCTGGACGAGAGCATTGTCTTGGTGGAGGGTAAATCTGAACAGCAGGATGGCGAACAGGGAAGCTATACGTCCAGACACTTTCTTCGGCGCTTCGTCCTGCCAGAGGGATACGAGGCCGACAAGGTGACTTCCAATCTGAGCAGCGATGGAGTCCTGACCATTACTGTGCCCAATCCACCGGCGGTGCAGGAGACAATCAAGGAGCGAGTGGTGCCTATCGAGCAGACCGGCGAACCTTCTAAAAAATCCGCAGATGAACCCAAGAGCGAGACTAGTCAACAATAACGACATTATCTGTGACTGAAATACAACAAATGCTAGTGAACCCCTTATGTTTAGATACCCCATCCTAACCAATTTAATTTAATTGTTGAATTGTTAACTTTTAGATTTTGTAACCTGTATACCCCTAAATTACATATATTATATGTATTTAGAAAAAATAAATTTTAAAATCATTATTTAGCCAAATATTTAAAAATAAATTTTAAAATGATTATAAAGAGAAGTATTCGGTTTTTTTGAGCTGGGTAATCTACAACAAAACAAAAAAAATGTTTAGTTGTATTCTCGTTTAAAGTTTAATAATTTCCGAGATCTTATTTAAAAAAAAATGGAATTCAACGTTTATTTAAAAGCCAAAATATAAATTTCCTTAGATGGAAATATGCACTTTTAATACAAAATTACTTTCTGTTTTCTTCTGGCACCTTGGACCCTCATGCAATCGCCATTCCGCTAAACTTTTTCCGCTTCCTTCGTTGATTCCGGTGACGTAGCTAGTTGACGCGGGTCCAACTGGCCGTAGTATTGTCGTGTGCACCTCGTTGGCCTCGCCTTCACCGCTGCACTTGGCCAATCCGATTCGCGCCTCGTCCGGATGAGTCATCAATCGTCTCCGCCATCCGCAATCCGCATCCGGCGAGGCTAGCCGACCATCTATAAAAGAACTGACGGCGGCGGCGACAAATTTTATAAGAATTTCGGACTCGAACGCAAGCGAATCGTTGCCCTAATCCCGGCGAGAAATGTCTTTGGTGCCCACCACATATCGCGACTTGTCGCGCGAATTTGATCTACCACGTCCGCGCTACCAACGACCGTATGATTTTCAACTATATCCATACTTGTGGGACGATCCGCGTGTCTGGTGGCCAGCTCATCATACCAACAGGAGTGAGTTGTTCCGACCTCTTGATGAACTCGTGACGCGACGGGTGAAGAATCAGTTAATCCAATCGACGCCCTACGAATGGGCCCATCCCATGAGGTGGGATAACTATTACTCCGGCGAGCGAGTACACGTGGATGAGAAGGGATTTCGCATCGACATAGATGTCCGGCAGTTTCATCCCCACGAAATTGTGGTCAAGACTAACGACGACTATGTCATCGTCCAGGGCAATCACAATCGCAGGGACGAAGGCTCCAATGGACTGGTGGAAAGGCATTTTGTGAGAAAGTACCTTCTGCCCCGCGGATATAATGCAAATGAGGTGATCTCGGATATATCCAGCGATGGCATCCTCACCATCAAGGCTCCACCACCGCCGCCAGCCAAGTACTACAGTCCCGGGGAGCGTTTGGTCCGGGTCCATGAAACCGGAAAGCTGGCCCTGCCCTGGAAATAGAACATCTATCCAAGACCAGGAAGGCAAACAGAGAATGTTTACCAAACCAAAAATCCCAGCCATCAAAAGCGCCTAACTCAAGGTGAACTATTTTCGGACAGCAAGCAAGTGCAGCCGAACATTTGAATTGGATTCAAACATAAATAAAATACAAATTGTACTCGTAGGTAATATATAAAATGCGCAATAAATATTTGCTAGATACGTTGGGGTTTACGGAGGGATCTTGGCCTGGTCGCGCCCAAATGCAAGCGTGGAAAAATATTTCCTCATTACCCATTGAAACTTTTCTTTATAATTTTTAATTATTAATAAAAGAACCTTGACTTTTTGTTGCCTTCATTAATAAGTTTTTAATTCTTCCTGGCGCTTTCCTATTTCTTTTTGTTTTTCTCAAAAAAAAAAACGTTACTGTTATTTTGCATATGGCATTAACCAAACATTCTGGTTTATGTGTAAATCACATATTCACAAATATATACGATTGGCAATTCAAGTTTTTAAGATTTTTCTCCTAGATCATAATCAAGAGAACAAAAGACAACATAAAAGCATTTATATTTTCCACACCAGGTGAACAAATGATTTAATAAGTTATTCTTCAAGTCTTTAGCTCTTTACAAAAGCAATGCAATAAATAAGGAACATACATGTGAGGGAATGAGAGATGAGTTGGGGAGTACAATATAAAAGAGAAAGTATTCTACTTGGTGGCGGCTCCATTCTCCTTTGCTGCTCCATTCTCCTTGCCCTTTAGCTCGCTAGAATTCGGCTTGACATTGAGATGAGCGGGTCCCACTTGCTGGATCTGGATGACGCGCTCCTTAGACTTATCCTCGATAGCCTGCGGTTTGGGAATGCTGACGGTCAGGACGCCATCGGATGATAGCTGGGAGACCACCTGCTCAGGCTTGTAGCCCTCGGGAACTTTGTAGCGCCGGACAAAGTGGCGCATGATATGGCCATGGTCATCCTGACGCTCCTCGTGTTTGCCCTCAACCAAAATCGAGTTGTCCACCACCTTGACGTTGAGTTCACTCGGCTTGAACTGGGCCACGTCCATGCACACCTGGAACCCATCCTTGCCCACCTGGGTGGTGGCTGGCCAGTGGATGTCGTTGTGCTTGGACATCTCGCGACGCAGGGCCATCACCTGGCCGGCGGGCGACGAGGGACAAATGGGCGAGGCGCAAGGACATCCGTTGATCGAGCGGCGATGCTGGTTACCATGTGGCATGAGCAAGCTGGAATGCGGATGCACTCCCAATCCAAACTCGTAAATGGGGCTGCGTGGCTCTTGGAGTTCGTCCACCAGCGAAAGAAGTGTAGATAGCGCCATTTTGACTTTGAATTTCTAGGTTAAATTTTCGACGAAGTAAAATATTTCTTCCTTCTTGGTTAGGTTGAATGAACTTGTATGACTTGCAAAAGTATTTTATTCCTTTTCTTTTTTTAAGTTCCGTTTTTAAGGTTCAGTTGCCTCCACTCCGTTTTCAGCTCTTGACTTTTCGGTTTTAAAATTCGATCTGTGCTCTCTTCGCCAAGCGGCGCTGCTTTTATAGCCGCTAAGCTTTTCTAGAAGAGTCCAGAAAGTAGTAGTAGAGAGAGAGAGAGAGAGAGAAAAACAAAGGAGAGAGCTACACAAAAAAAAAAATACATTTTCGAATTTTTTTTTTAATAATTAAAATCGTTAAATATACACACTTGGAAGGTATTTCGTGACATTTTATATATTTGGTACCTACTACATCAACCTAATACCCTGAGTTAAATTCTTTTTGTTTAAAATTAGTTTGTCTATTTGAGCGACTATGAAAATTAAAAAGAAATTTTAATAATTCAGTCGATTTTGATTTGTAAAGCGGTTTTTTTCTGTGGATTGAGAGAGACAATGTGCGCCAGTGTGCGTGAGAGAGAGTTTCAAAGTAAAATGTCAATGCGTGAGAGATGTTACATTTCTAGAAGAGTCCAGCATATGCGAGAGAAAAGTTGCGATACTTAAGAGAGAGTCCAGATAGCTGTTGCAATTTCCTATGTGAATAAAAGAGAGAGCGTTAAAGAGACCGCTAACGGCAAACAAAACAAAACTACAATTTTTTTATTTTGTTTTTCCTCTTTATTGTTAAGTACATTATTTCGTGTTTCTGTCTTTAAGTTTTACTGGAATACTTGTAGTTGTTGTCACGTATGTTTTTAGGAAATCATATATCGTTCGTTATCTCCCACGCTTAATAATTGAGTGCCTTTCGCTTCAGCATTTTCTAGCTCAAGAAACACAAGAAACATTTATGGAATAAAACGCACGCGAACTCGTGCAGGTTATTATTTGTTCTTAATTATTCATTTTATTTTTTTAGTTCAGTCTTCACTTGGCCAGTTCCTCGGTTTTGGCTGCAGTGGCTCCGTTTTCGCCCTGGTTTTTGGCCAGGAGTATGGCCGCATCCACGGCGGCCAGCTCCTCGCCTCCTTTCTCCTCCACTTTCTCTACTTTTTCCACCTTATCCGTCTTCTCCGCCTTCTCCACCTTTTCCTCTTTGCTGTCTTCTGTAGGGGCTTCAGGTTTTTTAGCCAGCGGCATTTCCACATCATCGGGGGTTATGCCTGCTCCATTACCGTTATTGGAGGATATGTCCACTTCGTTGGCATTGGCATCCTCTGTTTTCTGCTCCCCTTCGCTGCTCTCTACGGGATTGGGTAAGGGTTCCTCCTCCTTGGCAGCCTCTTCGTTTTTGGCAACCACTTCCATGGACTCCGGCTCTGGAACACCATTGTTGGCGCTGGAAGTGGTTACTGCAGTGGAAGGGGTTTCCACTGCAACAGCGGCAGTGGCAGCAGCCTCGTTGGAAAGAGAGGGAGAAAGAGCAGCTGTCTCCTCCTGACCATTACCGTTGCTCTCGACGAGAGTGAGCGAGAGCGAAGGAGTGGGAGTGGAAGTGGGAGCAGCAGCAACAGTGGAAGTGGGAGCGGGAGCACTAGCTGCCGTCTGCGGCTCTGCCTCTGCCGTCTTCGGCGGCTGCGCATCCTTCTGCTGCTGCGACGAAATCTGCTGGATGTCCACAATGCGCTCCTGCCGTTCCAGGCCGCCTTTGGAAACGGGAAGTGGAGGCGGCGCCTTGACCGTTAGAATCCCGTCCGAAGAAAGAGTGGAGTGCACCTCGTTGGGATCATAGCCCTTGGGCAGGATGTACTTGCGGATGAAGTGGCGCGAGATCACTCCGTGGCCATCCTCCTTCTCGTCGTGCTGTCCCTCGACCACGATGCAGTTATCGATGGTCTTGACGGTCAGCTCTCTGGCGGCGAACTGCTTCACGTTCATGCTCACCTGGAAGCCGTTCCTATTGACTACGGAGTAGGCCGATTTGCTGGCCGTCGGCTGGCTGCTACTGCCACTTCCGCCGGAAGTACCCTTATCGCCCAGTTCCTTCTCCAGTTCCAGCAGCGATTTATTGCAGCACATGGTCTTGGCACCAGCCACTCGATTGTACGGATGATGACGATGCTGCTGCTGCACCGGTGACTGACCCTTAATGGGCACCCACATCATGGCATTTCCACGCCCCAACCCGCGACTCATCTGTGGCGTATGTGTAGTGGCCTCCAAAGGATACAACCCGAATCCTGCCGAGTCGTCTATATCCATGGCCAGACTGCGATTAAAGTCATGCAGCTCCTCGGCCAAATCGAGTATGAACGGTATCAGCGACATATTCACTTTATCTTCACTGTCTTTTAAAGGTTTTATATATTTTTTTAGATTTTTTCGGGGATTAGTTTCTTCTGGGAACCGGCGGCGATCCGTTCTGGTCTCCAACTGGACTGCGTTTGAGCCCTTATGGCTGAATGCCGGCGCTTTTAACCGGCCGTGCAGCGCTGAATGGAAAACCTGGTCACCGCTTCCAGTCAGTCCAGCCTTCCAGGCCAGCTCCCAGACGAAAAACTATGAAACTCCTCCAGAGAACTCGAAAAGGGGGAGGGATACCCATAAAAACAGACAGGCAAACCATGTACTATGCCATTTTCTGGTATATAAACCGAAATAAGAGATACTTTTCCTACATCGCAGATAGCCAGAGAACAAAGAAAGTACTCGTATTCCAGGGCGAAACCAGACAAACTGCAGCGCTGCAAAAAATAAAAGAGGCAAACCGGCTTGAAACCGAGGGATATATGCACGAAAACCCCCCAAGAGATGCCATCTCCCTTGAAATAGAGATATATATGTACCTAAATATGTACATATGTATGGATGGGGTGTATGTAAAGTGGTCGTGTTGCAGCTGAATTCCCATTGCCGGCATGGAGCGAACAGCTGAGAGTCTCGTGCCGGTTGCCGAGTCGCCGGCGATAAACAACTACAACAACAGCTGAGGCCGGCTGGAAGCGTAAAATCCGCTGGAGTCGCTGGAGCTGGAGGATTGGCAATCGCAAACCGGCGTCGCGTAAACATGCGCAGTGTCAGCGTCTGGAGAAATACATATGGTCTGGCCATTTACACATACAAATATACCCTGCCATACAGATGGTGATATGCTGGATTGTATTCGTTACATACAACCGGTTGAAAAGCTCCAAAAAGCAACAACATCATCCAGACGAGGACCAGACAGTGGAGACTTGCTAAATTTTACTAGGGCCCCGAACTCAACTCCCGGATTCATGTACATATGTACATGCATATGACCCAACTGCAGTGGAAAAAGAGCAAAAACCTTCGGAGATTGTTGCGTTTGAGATGCCCCTCTATATGATATACATATGTACATATGTACGTATATACCACACAAACTCGCAATGTACTTGCTTTCATTTACCCAAACGAGGGGAGAAATCCGACAGACGAGGGTTCTCGTATATTATGTGACCACCTTTTTGAATAGACAACTTCCATTGCGTTGGCGTTGGATTGTGCAAGCCCCGGTCACATACCAAAGGTACTCCTGGGGAGGAGAAAACAAAAACAAAATGGGCCATAAATTTAAACTTGAATGATATAACAACTAAGGATCATATCTACATATGTAATACCTACAATTGGAGCTATAAGAGTTCGGTTTACCGATAATTTTACATAGATATTGCATTAATTCAACAAACATAGTAAATAAATTGTACTTTCAATTAAATTTTAATTGGGGAAAGGGTTACTTTATTAATCAATCAATCAAATTTCTTATGATTTGTATACAAAGATCTTAAAGCATATCTACCCTTTTTTTAAGAAAAGTTCTAAAAGTGCGAAGGGTTTCTTAGAATTTGTAATTTGATTTTGAAGTTTGTAGAATTTAACAAAAATTTCCTTCTAGAACTTTATAGTTTAATTAATTTTTTAATAAATTCTGAAGATTTGTACAAATTCTTGGTTATTTCATCTGTATTCTGCATTTGATTCACTTTATAAACGTGGAGTAATATTTTTATATTTAAAATATTCTTATTTTTCTCCTTTACATTTTGAAAATATTAAATTAAAGTTTCATTTTAGTGGAATAATGTATTTAGTCGACCATTAATCATAGATTCATTTATTTTAATTACTTTACTCCCGCTATAGAAACTTTATTCCATGATTTTAATTAAAGTTAATAGCTTGAATGGCATGCCATTAAAATAACAATTTCTATTCAGTCTCGATTTTTCGCGAATGTACTCCATCCTCCGAGGTCTATGTGCCTATCTAGCTGGTATACACATAATATTTATCTGCGCCGCCGAATTATCACTCCACCAGGCCTACTCATCCTCACTCCCCCAAATATTCCACATTTTCCATAGCGATACTCTCACTTTCAATGGCAGATAATGCGTAATTCCTGCAATTTCGAGAACTTTTTGCGATATTTGCAGCCCGAGAAGTTTCGTGGCTCTTCTAGATGTTTGTGCCCCAATGCACACAGATACGACAAACACAAACACAGCGACGGCGCTCGCACAGATACAAAAGCACCCATACAGCAACACTAAGTGGTTGTATAAATAGCCGGCACTTTCATTCAACCGGCGTCAGTTGAATTCAAAAAGCTGAAGTGATAACAGCCGTAGCAAAAGCTCTACATTAAAAACCAATATTTAAAAAATTATCTTAAAGCATTTAAAATGGCAAACCTACCATTGCTTTTGAGTCTGGCCGACGATTTGGGCCGCATGTCGATGGTGCCCTTCTACGAGCCGTATTACTACCAGCGCCAGAGGAATCCTTACTTGGCCCTCGCAGGACCCGTGGAACAGCAGTTGCGCCAGCTGGAAAAACAGGTCGGCTGCTCGTCGGGACCCTCAGGAGCCGTCTCGAAAATCGGAAAGGATGGCTTCCAGGTCTGCATGGATGTGTCGCACTTTAAACCCAGCGAACTGGTTGTCAAGGTGCAGGATAATTCCGTGCTGGTAGAAGGAACTCATGAGGAACGCGAGGATGACCATGGCTTCATTACCCGGCACTTTATCAGGCGCTACGCTCTGCCCGAGGGCTACGATGCGGAAAAGGTGGCCTCCACTTTGTCCTCGGACGGAGTCCTTACTGTGAAGATTCCCAAGCCGCCGGCCATCGAGGACAAGGCCAACGAGCGCATCGTTCAGATCCAACAGGTGGGTCCCGCCCATCTTAATGTCAAGCAAAATGCCAAGGAGCAGCCGGAGCAACTGGAGCAGGACAACGGCAACGAGAAGTAGATTATTCGATCGGAGGGACTCGCTGTATTTAACCAATATTATAGTAATGTATCTGTTTTATAAGAAGTAGTTACCCAGGGACACTCTAATCAGGCATACATATAATACATTAAGGAGTGTCCTGCTTTAATCTTATTTTGAAATATGTATTCCTGTAATTGGCTGATTAAATAATAAAAATACAAATAAAATAACTCTTAAAAACATTAAATTTTGCACTGTTTATTTAATTGGTTATAAGTTATCAAGACTACGGATTTTCGAAAAAATTTGTGAGATGCTGAAGATTCAGAAGTGGAATTATGCCACCAAAATGAATTTGGTTTTTATTAAGCTTAAAATTTTTTTGATAGTACTAATTTTAAGGAATGGATAAACTAGAAAATATGTTGGTTTACTTGACCTTTTTTTGAACTTTATAAACTGGATTGTTGATTAAACTGTTCCTTTTTATTATTTTTTTTTAGTAAAAGGGTGAACAACATAAAATAAAATTAATGAAAGAAAATAATAAAATGTTCTACCGGAACATTCATTTAATTTATGCTATAGCACAGAGGAAATACCTACATATTTTTCTGGAAGAATTTTTAGTGTATAGAAAGGATAAAGGCAGCGACAAAAATTAAAGCAATAATAACTCTAATGTTGGTTGGGTTGTGCTAAGGTTTGTGCAGAAACTTCTGAAACTGACTGCAAGTGGTAGCAAATCGTAATGTGCCCCGATTCCTGACTTGGCGAGGCGGCGTCGAAAGCAAGCTGCAAAAATGTTTGCAGCAAACAAAAGAACGGCAAACATGAGAAGCAGCAATAAACAGACCGCAAAATTAAAGTTCAATGCACCTTACCCAAAGTGAACAGCAGATCCGTTGCACTGCAAACAGACAGCGTTTAAAAAGTCCGATAAGAGAAGAAAATGCTTTAAATAAATATTGCATTGTATGTACTGCTGTTTAACTGTTTTTTTTGCCGGGAAACTCCGAGAAATGTCAAGAACTTTCTAGCTCTCTTGCTCTCGCTATAAAAAGCCGGCTGTGATAGAAAGAGCGAGAATATACGAGAGAGCGTTTATTAAATGCAGGAGCGTGTCAAATGGGGTACTAAAGATATCAACATTGTCATTATCTCTTTTACAAAATATTTATAACTATAGCTGTGTTTTAGTGTTTAGTGAAATAGAAGAAATAAGGTTATTATGTTTTGTTATTGCTAGGCTAAACTAAATGCTTTACGAGAAAAGCTAATTTGTGAAATGATTAGTAAGTATGTAAACCCCCTAAAGTTTTACTTTTGACCCGCTCCTGGTTGAGTTGCACTAGTGTGTGTGATACGGCGTCGGTATAAAAAGCCGGCGTCGACGTCGACAGAGCACAGTCGAATTTCGAAAATTGAAGGGAAAAGTTAAAGGGAAGCACAAGGAGAATCACAATAGCAAAAAAAAGAAAATTTCCTTTGTCTAGACAGAATTGTGAATTTAAAAAAAAACAAAAATGTCGATTGTACCACTGCTGCACTTGGCCCGGGAGTTGGATCACGATTACCGCAGCGACTGGGAACATTTGCTGGAGGATGACTTTGGATTTGGGGTCCATGCCCACGATCTCTTCCATCCCCGTCGTCTGCTGTTGCCGCATGGAGGATCCCTAGGTCGTCGTCGCTTTTTGCCTTATGAGAGGAGCCATCATGGGGGCCATGGCCATCATCATCCGTTGATGCCACGTCGTCCATCGGGAGGTAAAAACTCTCTACTGCCCGCAGTGGGCAAAGATGGTTTCCAGGTCTGCATGGATGTGTCTCAGTTTAAGCCCAACGAACTGACGGTCAAGGTGGTAGACAAAACCGTGGTGGTGGAGGGCAAGCACGAGGAGCGTGAGGATGGACATGGAATGATCCAGCGGCACTTTGTGCGCAAGTATACCCTGCCCAAGGACTTTGACCCGAACGATGTGGTGTCCACAGTCTCCTCCGACGGGGTGCTGACCCTGAAAGCTCCACCTCCGCCCAGCAAGGAGCAGGCGAAGTCAGAGCGCATTGTCCAGATCCAGCAAACAGGTCCTGCCCACCTGAGCGTCAAGGCTCCCGAAAATTCCGATGGAAAAACCGAAAATGGCGGCGGCGAGAAAATGGAGACTGGCAAGTAACGGGGGGAGCTGAAACCAAGATTCGCTGGCGAAGAATGAGAAGAAGAATTTAAAGGAGAAACGGGAGTGTTGCAGCGCTGCTCGGAGAGTGCAAGACTAAAAGGACACACCACAAACACACATTCATTGTATTACTCTCTCACAAACACACACACATCACATCTTAGAACTAAGCGATTTTAAACTCCATTTATCATAAAAAAAAAACATTTTAGTCTGTATGAATAGGCTAAAAACTGGAGAATTCAATGCTCCCTTTGAGTTAAGACTTTTTGTAACAAGAACAGCCGCAACACTCGAAAGAATTTTGAATTTAATTTGGGAATAAAAGAAATAAAATATACGAAAAAGAAGTCAGATGGCGAGTTTTTCATTGTTTTCCCGTTTTGCTCCTTCATTTGCAATCTGCAAAATTTGCATTTCGAGTAAACCGGTTTTTCTGGGTGTTGTTCACTCATTTACTGAGGGTTTATTATTTACTTTTTACGTCCTTGTCCTTGATTTGCAGTGCGCTTAAAAAATACCATTGCTAAACTTATTTTGTATTTGTTTTTTTTAATTCAAACAAATGTGACTCTGGTAATTTATAATTTTAAGGAATAACGTCAAAACATTATTATAAATCGAGGATAACTTCCCGATAGAAATAAGCCCTCAATAAAAATACTTGTCTCTACTAATTTGATCAATTGTTTGCACATATTTATTTAAATATTTAATACATAATAAAAAATTTAGTTGCCCGATTTTTGTTTCTTATTGGTTTTTATGCTCGTAACTTGTAGCGATCATAAGTATTTACTGTTTATGCTATGTCTATATCTAAAACGACTTTCATTCATATTTTTCAGCGGGGTCTTGAGATACAGATATATATCTCGATTTCTCAGCTCTTAAGAGCTTTCGCTGTTAACCGCGAAAAAGCTTTAGTGGTTGTCATGTTGCTGTTGTTGGTTTTATCTTAATTGTTGTTAAGTAAAAATGTTTTTTTTCTACTGCTGCGGCTGCGGTCAATATGTTTTTGCTTGCATTTATGCATGTTATGTATGTATGTATATTCAATGACGCTTAATCACAGATCAATTTTTTAAAATTTCATTTGACTTAGAAGTTAAGAAACAAAACACACATCCTACACTTGGACTAAATAATTACTGTCTCTGGTTGGTTTTGGGCTTTTTGGCTTGGACAACTTAATGGACATACACAAATGGGATCGGAGGCTGAATGATACACGAATACAGGATAAATTATACATCGATTTAGCGACTAAATCTAGATACGCCAACTGCCTGGTTCTAAACATTACAATATTCTTTTCTGTTAAGTTTTTGTTTGTGTTTTGTTTTAATCATTGCAGTCTCAAATTGTTTATGGGCTTTGCTATATAAAGAGGAGAACGTAGAGATTGTTGGGCCGCTGGCCACGATCTGGCTTTTAAAGCCCCTTGGTGTGCGGTATAAAAAATAGTATTTCATTTTTACTTTCTATGTGGATCTCGGGGTCTCCGTCGACCAGCGGTGAATACTTGAGAGCAGAGCGTTAAAGGTTACGGGGAAAAGAGAGCGCGCAGATCATAGTGGATCACATCAGTCCAGTATTCACTCATCACTTCTGGATGAGACTTTCACAGCTGCTGCTGAGATTTGGCAACGACTTGAAACTGAGCCGCGATCGATCTATATGGGCGTCCGAGGGACCATGACCCCTGCTGCTCCTGCTGCTGCTGACCCCATCCACGCCCCTGTCAAAGGAGGAGGAGTTGACGAGCGGATGCGGATGCTGGTGCGATTCCCGCTGCTTCTGCTGGCTGGCATATGCGGCAGGTGGCGATAGAGGAGATGTGGGCAGATCGATATCCAGCACGGTATCCGCTTCGCTGGGCTTAAGCTTGGGATCCGAGTAGCGGCGAAGCTCCTCCTTCGGCTGCTGACCGCCCAAACAGTCGGTGGTGCAGCAGCCAATGGGTAGGTCCACGCCCATCATGCCCGAATGGCTGTAGTCGATCTTTGGCGGCGTGCTGTAATCGTAAGGATGTACGGCAGTGTCTGGGCCCACGCTGGTCTGGTCGCTCAGCACATCGCGGTTCTCCAGAAAGATGGACGAGTTGGAGTAGCGCTTTGTCTGGTGCGGCTTGTACACGAATCCGCCGAGTCCATTGGCCACCGCATGCGACACTCCGGAGCTGATCGAGGGCGCCTTGTGCTCGCCACTACCTGCAATCAAATTATGGCGGTTAATAAAATGTAAGATTAAAATAGAAAGAAAGTCTTAAGTCTTAAAAGACGGTGATAATGTAACACATTTCACAGCCTTTTTAAAGTGACTTGTGATGTAAACCGGTCCAGCGTTGGCCCGCCCATCCCATAGCCACTCACCACTGAAACTGCTCAGCTGCAGGGCATGTTCGCGACCTGTGTCAGTGGAGATGCCGCTGGCGCTGAGATCCTGCCGTGATCCGGCACAGAGATCCGTGGCCGAGCCGCGACTAGAGCCCTCCGAGTGCTCCAGCACGTTGTGTATGGAGTCGTGGAAGGGTGTCATACTGCCCGATCCCTGAGGGCAGGGTCGGAATGAGGAGATCTGCGAGACGACGTCATCAAGAGCCCAGTCACGGTCATAATTGTGCTGTGACTGCGAGCACTCGATGTTGGCGGCCACCGCCACCTGACCCAGTTGCTGTCCGCCTTGCTGCATCTGCTGGTGCCGCTGATGACCATGGCCATCCTCCGTTTGCGTGCAGGCACTGCTGCTGCTGTGAGGCACCTCCAGTTCCGCGGCCAGTTGTAGCATATGGTGTGGAGAGGCGTTCAGAAGCCGTTGCATCTGTTGGTGCAGGCCCAACCCCGCAGCGCCGCCTCCGTTCTCCATTGACGCACAGCTAGCTTCGTGGGCGCAGTGTCCTCCGGCCGCACCGCCGGCATTGATCTCCACCGCCCCGCTGGCCGAACCGGCAATGGCCAGCGGCTCACTGAAGTGCTGATGATGGGCGGCCACTGGGGAAGGCGGTGCCAAGGGATGAATCTTTTCCGGCGCATTTTGGATCAGCAGAATTCTGTAAGACATAAAATAGATGGTCAGCATATTTTCCTGAATCGTGTTAAAGTTCAATATTCAGACCAAGCTTTTTTATGGATTCTGCATTACTCAAATATTCTTATGAATAACTCGGAAAATAAAGTGATTAAAACTGTTGACTAAATAAATTCAATTCAATATGATTAATGAATTCATTTTATAGATAAATGACAAATGTTAATTCCTAATACAAATTAAACAAATCATTAGCTTATTCATCTTATAAATTATTTTGTGATCAATCGCTTAAAACCCGATGATTTCATCATTTAATTTGTCAGTGTCTCAAAGATGTATTTCTTTTGACTTATATGCGGGTATTAATAGTTAAGACTTCATGTCTCTAAAATAAAAAAAATATTTTAAGAATGCCAAACAAATTGCATTAAACATCCTACATTTTGAAAGATTTTCTAATAATTCAAACCTATTTATATTTAAAATTTTGCGCAACTCAATTGAAATTAATTACACATTACTCACTTATTGCTTTTGACAAAATGGTAAATTTGCAGCAGAATGTGAAATTAAATCATTAACTTGAAAAACGTGTGTTTAAGTTTTACAAGGAAATAAAATGTATGCGAGGTAGAAGTTCAAAACCAAAACTGGCTTATGGAACATCAGCTACATTGATAAAAACGCAAGCGAGTACGCCTTCAATTAAATATACGACAGCTACTAACAAGACTTAAAACAATGGGCTCATCAATAGAGAATTTTGATTTTAAAATACGTTATGATTGTCTCCGCTGAATAAATATGCGATTTTTCTTTGTCTTTGTCTTACTTTGTTGCACACAAAGCGACAGGAAACTTTATTCGTTTGTATGAAATAAAATAAGAAACAAATTATGAATTATCTGAGACTATGAAATTGCAAATTGCTTTGATTTGATTAAGAATGAAACCTATATCAAATGAACTCACAAAGCGCATACACAAATACTACTTATTACATAATAAAAACATAAAATTGCTATGAAATCAATTAAGATATCCATTACAAATTTCTACAAAAATGGTCTAGCCAATTTTAATAATTTTATTTCGTTTTCAACTATGATTGAACTATTCTCTCAGCGATTTGTTGATTTTTTAGATCCCAGTCCCCCTATTATATTATCTAATTGAAAGCTGGTACGTTAAACATTCAACAATTTAATACTTATTCTTAGCTAATACTAATCGGAATTTGAGCTAATGGAGCCCAATGATCTCTACCATTAACATTTCTGAATTTACAATCGAATAACTCATGATCTTGACCTGTTGCGTGCCTTCCAGCGGTGGCAGAGATGCAGATACGCCTTGCATTGGATGTACATGAAGACTATTCCACCGGTAAGGCCCACGGTGACAACGGCCAGCTTCGTCCAAAAGGGCCAGTCTGAAATGGAGAGGGAACAGGTACTTAGAATCCGTGAAGAGTAAACAGTTGATATAATAATAGCCCAAGTTCAGGCAGGTCAGGCAATTATATAATTACGGACTGCGCTGAGCGGTTATTTGACCTCCCCGAACTCGAGACTCTAGTACTAACACCCCGCACCTATTAGGCCACGTTGGACATCGTCGGCGGCCCGCTCGATAAGCACACACAGCGACCAGATGACGCACAGGGCGGCGGCACAGTGGAACAGCACGGAGCAGCACAACCGCCGCCTTTCAATGCCGGAGATGTCAAGGCTGCGCCACTGCAATTGCCATTGCGATACCCCAATCCAATCCCATTCCATACAATACAATCCAACCGCAATCCAATCGATTCCGAAGCCAAACAATGCAAAGACAAAATCAAATAAATTAGCTGACTTTCGGTAATAAAATGTGACAATGCGAAGAACCCACCTCGTTGAAGGGCTTGATCTTGGTGTGCATGATGAAGGGGAACTTGCAGAGCTCGCAGGAGTTGGTCTCGGAGGCGGTGAGCCACTGCTGCAGGCAGGCCTGGTGCACGTACTTCAGACTTCCGGAGCAGTAGCACGGCGTGAGCAGCGGGTTCTGCGGATCACTCTCGCAGTGGCAGATCCGGCATATGTCGCCGCTGTTCTGCGAGGCCTGGCTGCTGCCTGAACCGAATCTGGAAGAGATTAGGGGAGAATTATAATCTTCTTACTACATAATGCATTATTTTTAAATTATCCCACATTTTTTAATTTTACATACAGCCAAAAAAGATTTTCTTGAACTCTCAAGCTACAGTCTTTATTCCTAGCACAATAACACAAATCGTTAAATATAACTCTTGAGATATCTTCTTTTTTCAATACAC